TTTACACATAATGGGGGATGTTGTTTACATTGTATAGTGATATCTTTTGGTCCTAAAATCTTGGGAGATTTAATAAAACTTTGTTAAGCAAAGATGCCAGGTTTTCCCCTTTACTGAAAAAGAGTATGGATACAGAGTCAATGAGAAAAGTGAAGGAATGTAGTGGCCCCATTTACAGAATTACTGCTGCAGAATAGATGCTATAAAGGATAACTGAAAAAAAAACCATTTGGCAATTCAGAGAGACAGACATGAAAACCTTTTATTTTGCTGTTGAAATGCTCAGGGTTGGAAAACAAAGATGTACTGTGCATACTGGAATCCAGATTCATCCTGCAATGTTTTAAGCTTTAACTGCAGTTTAGGCTGCTAAGTTAAGGAATTAATCATGGAATCATAGAATGGCATAGGCTGGAGGGGACCTTAGAGATCATCTAATCTGACCTCCCTGTCATGAGCAGGGATGCCCTTAACTAGAGCAGGTTGCTCAGTGCCTCATCCAACCTGGCCTTGAACATCTCCAGGGAGGGGGCATCCACAACTTCTCTGGGCAATCTATTCCAAAGTCTTACCACCTTTGTACTGAACAATGTTTTCCTAAAATCCAATCTAAATCTGTTTTCCTGTAATTTAAATCCATTTCTCCTTGTCCTACCAGTGGACACTCTTGTAAAAATATCCCTCCCTAGCCTTCCTGTAGGTTCCCTTCAGGTACTGGAAGGCACTTATAAGGTGCCCCCAAAGTCTTCTCTTTTCAAGACTGAACAATCCCAGCTCCCGCAGCCTGTCCTCATAGCAGAGGTGCTCCAGCCCCTGGATCATCCTTGTGGCCTTTCTGTGGACTCATTCCAACAGAACTATGTCCCCCTTATGGTGGGGACACCAAAACTGGACGCAGTATTCGAGGGGGGGTCTCAGAAGAGCAAAGGGGGAGAATCCCCTCTCTTGACCTGCTGACCACGCTTCTCTTGAAACATCCCAGGATGGGGTTGGCCTTCTGGGCTGCATGAGCGCACTGCCGGCTCATGTTGAGCTTCTCATCTATCAACACCCCTAAATCCTTCTCTTCAGGGCTACTCTGAACCCACTCTGAACACAGTTTGTATTTGTGCCTGGGACTAGCTTGACCCAGGTACAGGAACTTGCACCATCATATCTCCATCAGAAGTGGAGAGAGAGGCTGCTCAGATCCAAACCAGCTCAATGTTTTCCTTCCTCCAGTAACAGGGGAGGTTGGGATCCATCTGAACATTGCCATTTGGAAAATGATCTATATATATGTCAAGAAAGTGAATTGTATGATACGAGAACATCTTTTTCTTTATTTTGAAGTGGGGAAGTTGTTTTTTCTTCTTATGATTTGTAATTCTAGAACTCAGAAGTGTTTAGTTATTACTATTCAGTTATTAGCTTGGGATTTGGGTAACATTGAGTGAAGCCATTTGTACTGATTAGCAGAAATTAATTATAATTGTAGTTAACATGCTATAATAGTCTGTTACAGAGTGCTGTCAGGGTTGAAATGACTCTATCGATGCAAAATGAGTCGGTAAGGTAAACTTTGGTCTCCAACTCCAAAGTGATATACTAATGTTAAGGACCTGCTGGGTCACCAAAAACATCCTGGTGCTGTTGAAGACACTATAGTCATGAGCTCCTGAGCTTGAAGTGTTCAAACTTCAGTCTAAAAGGAATTGAGATTTATGTATTTTTTGGCCCTGCTGATGGTTAGAAGCCTCCTTCTCATTTCCTGCTTAAATGTATTCATGACTGTTTTAAACTTATCTGTTCATACAAACCATACACGTAGCTTTCTGGACCCAGTGCATAACCGATCAAAGTCAATATGTGTCTTTTCATCGGCTCTGCTAATCTGAACCATGCTGACATCAAACCAGATCCAAGCTAGGGGTTGGACTAGATGATCTTCAGAGGTCCCTTCCCACCCCTACCGTTCTGTGAAGTTGAGAAGAGTGGGAAATACACAGGGTGCTGTCTGAGTTTTCTCTGTTGGTAGAAGGGTTTTGTGCACTTTTCACTACAAGTCCCTCATACCATGCCACTAATCCATCTCCTTTCTCACGTGCCTTAAGGTCCCCAGTGCGCCCTGCCATTCGGCACCTCATCTATTGTCAACGGAGCTGTATTTTGTGAAAACACTTCTGGGCAAGCTTCAAGCATTCAGCAGTGCTGGCTGGTGTGTCGCCGGGGCTTCCACAGTGCATCTTCCACCACATCGTTTCAGTGTGATGTGCAACAGCGTCGATGGGTCTCAGCTGCCCCACTCTACCAGGCCTGCCAGAGTATGTCCGAGCTGCCATGGGGTGGGAAGGGCACAGATCAATGCATATAGATGCACAAAAATCAGCTTTCATGACAAAGCTACTGTGTGAGTGACAATAATAGGACACAACGGTTATGTGGGAGTTGCTAAATTAAGGTGCAGTTGATTAGACCTGTCTTCTGCCATCTTGATCTCTGTCTCTTGTCTGCCTCCTATGCCAGCATCCTGCTATTCTGTAATAATGTAGCTATAAATAGCTGTTCAATCTATACGCAGATTTTTCTTTGGTAGTTAAAAGATGCTGGCACTGTGAAGTGATTCTGATGGAACCACTTAGTCCTGGAGGAACAGATGAGCACCAGATGTTTGAACATGGCAGAACTTGACTGTTTATTTGCATAATCAAGTCACTGTTACTTCTGTAGCTTTTTGCAGCAGTCTGTTCCTTAGAATTATTGCTGTCTTTGTTGGCTGACTTATATTTTTCAAACCATTTTTCTTTCAAGGAAAAAATGGCACTTAAAATCTTGGAAGAATTGGTTCTCTATTCAGAGCTCATGCAATTCAATATTAACGTTGGCCTTTTCAATTAGTTCAAATAGAGATACATTCTGAGCAAAATGGCAATTTGTAGCAGTGCTGAACTTAGAAAAATGCAGATCTTGATGTCAAATTTACAGCTACTATTCGTCTTCAGAATGGCTTAAAATCATTCTGGGAACCCTTGTGCTGAGACTTTTCCAGTTGTGTGTCTGGCCTTCTATTCCAAATGTAAATGTTTTTAAACTTTGAATTTCAGTTTGAGACTTTTGTCTATCTGTAATTGCTAGGTTTTTGCAGCATGCTTTGAAATAACTTTCATGTTTGCCTGATGGCAGTTGAATAACAGATTTTATGGACAGTGTATGGCAACTTTATACAAGCTGTCATTTAATGCAAATTAAGGACTTCCCCCAGTAATTTGAGTTTAAAAAAGAGCATAGTTTTAAGGAGAGAGAAAAAAATTCCCAAGGCATCAGAAAGTGATTGAATAAACTTCACAATAATGGAGAATTCACCCACATCACTTAGTAATTTGTTTCAATGGGTAATTACCCACACTCTTAAAAACCTGATTTCCTGTTCTTTATGTGTACACTTAGAGATTGTGGTTAAGTCAATTCTTAAGTACTCTCTGATAAATTAAACAGAGAGAGGGCTTTGTGCCTTGCAGGAAGAAGCAGACTTTTGTGTCCTCTGGTCCCTCCCACCATTCTTCTTGGAAGCTCTCCAGGCTTTTCCAGGCTGGAGAATCCTGCTCCAGCAGTGACACTTGTATGAGATGCAGTGAGAGTCTGTAGAGGAGGGGAATGAAGGAGAGCTCTGCTGCCTGTCCAGGCTGGTGGGATAAGAGCCAGCTCCAACTGGAGGTGACATGACAGCATGATTGCTGTGTTGAATCTGAGATAACAAACCCTCCATGATGCCTGGGATCAGCGTAACTCCAGTGGAGACAAGAAATTTGCACTTTTTTTTTTCCCCCCCGTGTCTGAAAACTGGCTAAATAGAATTTCATTTTGTAACTGATGAGCTCAAGGATTTCTCATCAGTTTGTATGATTTGCATCACTTTGATTTGCTATCAAAAAATTGGAGGGACCTTGTAGTTGTCCGTGTCAATGCCATTATCATGGAATCAAATTTATTCTTTCCTAATGCTTGATTCACAGTTAATTCTGAAAGCCCATTTGAATTAGTATTAATTGCTTTAAACCATTTAATTCCTTTTTTAACAGAAGCCTTTTCATAAATGTGTCTAAGGCAAGCAGAGGTTGTCAGGTCAATAACTCCTGTCTTCCTGTTTCTTTTCTAAGTATTGGCATAATGTCAGATTTTATCCAGTTCCTGTCTGCTAAGACTTATAAAAACAATCATTAATGATCTAGATTGTTCCTTATCTTCTGTTAGTGCTCCTGTGTAAAAGTTCTCTTTATTATTATGGAACTGTAACATCTGTTTTTTCCCCTAATGCACAACACATTTTTATCAAACATGTCTCTTGCTGCTTATTATTTACTATGCTTTCACCTAGAAATGAGGAAATGCTATCGATGCCGAATCAATGTTGTCTTTTCTCAAAGTAACTTTGAAAGTCAGTTTCTACATTAGTGAGGCTACTAAATGCCCTTTCTACTCTAATTTTTAGAGCTCCAATTATTTCAGACAGTCCAAGCTCAAGCACACTTTCAACTACTACTGCCTCCTGAGAAGACTTGTAGTTCTGACTACTCTGGAATACTCCAGGCATTCCAGATATTTATTCTAGATGAGTTGAAGGCTCGTGGTTTGTGTCACCTCCAGGTAATTGCAATTCTTTATTCTCTGCTGTTGGTGGTTTTTTTTGTTGGTTTTTTTTTTTTGAGTTTAGTGTTGCTTTTTTCTTTTGGTTGGGTGGATGTTTTTGCATTAAAAAGAAAAATAAAGCAAGACACAAACTAAAACTTCCTCTGTAGAGAGGTGGAAGAGCAAAACATGTCATGAAATCTGTCCGATTTGGCAGCACTCTCATATGGGTGACTCGCAAAAGAGGATGTTTATTCTCGCTGACCCCAAATCAGCAGATCGACCTGATTGTGGTCGTAGAAGTCATATCACGTCAGTCCAATCTTTATTATATTTTTTTTTGATGGAAGAGAACATTTTAAGTATTCTAGTGAGTGAAAGACCTGCTGAAATTATCAATTATCTCTTCATACTTCCATTTTTTCAGACCCTTTGAAGTTGTTGCTTTTGAGTGTAGCATAGTGCAAATGCACAGGGAAATACAAGAGCTAGAAAGTTCTCAGCTTGACTAACTGTGGCTTCATTTAACTTTTAATTTGAGGTAAATATGTTTGGAGATACCAGCTCGGTTTCTGTCTGTGATGATTCCACTGTCTATGCTGAATGCCTGAGTGTGGACCGTCTGGGAGTGAATGTCACATGGAGAATTCAGCTGGAAAACATCCCAGCAGCTTCTCTCCCCGACTTACATGATATTGGTAATTTTTTTTTTTCCCTTTGATATTTCTGTGACTTAAACCTGCTTTGCTTTTAATTGTTTTGCTTCCCTGTGTCTGGACTTGGGACGCACTAACAAGATAGTACAAATGCTCAGTGAAATAATGTGCCCTTATCATGCTGGAGTTGTGGTTTTAACGTAGTTAATATTTCACTTTTCAGGCTGTGATTGTACAGTGGAAAGGAGCTGTAATTGAATGTTCCTTTCGGATAGGACCGCCTCTCCCAGCTTTCTTAACTGAGATTGAAAATTATCGAGCATGAGCTGAATTGTCCCAGATGTTCATTTCACACTGGGCAGGTCCTCAGTGGTGGAAAAGATTACGTTTCTTACTGAGTTGCACTCAGAGAAATACAATTCACACATTGCCAAAAATATAACTAATTTCTGTCAAGTTTTTGAGGTTTTTTCCTATTCTTCTTTTTTTTCTTTCTTTTTCCCCTTCTCTGTTTATTACATTAATTTTGATGCTAAAGAATGGCCTTTGCTTCACACATCATAGAGCACTTATGCAAAGAACACTGACTGGCAGATCTTTGCTGTAGTCTCCCAGTGAGATGGGGATGGTATAAGGAGGTTATTTCAAAGCGATGTTTTACATCTTCAAAATAAAAGACGTGGAAGACATATCCCAAGTTCAAATGTCCTCTCTGCCACCTTTTTTCCATTTTTTTGCAATGCTGTTTACAGTACTGCTTGCAATACTGTTCCCAGCACAAAATATAAATAATTCTGACTGCATGTGTCCCTCCCTCCCTCTAAGTTTGGGATTTGGAGACATGTGCCCTACAGAATATTTTGCTTGCCACCAAATTCAGGACACAGGCATGGCTGCAGCAGCCATATGATGCCTGGCTTTACAACCTGATTACATTTACACCCATTCTGTTGCTCAGGATTATAAGGGAAACATGAATATTCAAGCACTTTGAAGAAGGTGAATCAAAGCATAAGTGTGTTTGGTTTTACATTAAACTTTAGTTTGAAAGTGTTTGAATTTGAGGGTGTTGTATTTTGACCACACTGTAATTTCCCTGTAGTACCAAATATTGTTTTTCAGAGAATGGCCATGTGCTTTCAGCAGAGCAGAACATGCTCCCTGCATGCTCTTGGCACCATCACCTTCCATTACTTTCCAAGGCAGCTTTGGGTCTTTCCATCTAAGGTGTTTTCTTGTGTATTTACACAGAGTGAGAAAATTTGCGCTCTCATTTGAAACTCTACATTACTAAAATACCATTGTTCTTCTCCTAGCTTCTTTACAGGTAAATGAGAAGCCTTGCTTTTTCTTTTTTTCCTCCTATACAGTAGTTGATAATAAAATTGCTTAGAAGAAACACAGTATGTGTACCTTCGCAAAGGAGAACCTCAAATCTAAATCACTCATTATTTTTTGGGGGAGAGGGAGAAATATTTTCAGGTACTAAATTCTGAGGCTGTGCAAATCCCTTCCTGAAGGTTCTTGTGCCATTTGGCTTCGTAGCTTAGACCTCAGCTCTAAAATATTGAGGAACACTTGCAGCAATTTTTCTCTTTTCTGTTCAACGGGCAAAAATACTATAGATTGTAAAAACGCTTTTGGTGGACAAACATGTAGTAAACAATCTCCGTCAGTGAGGCTGGAGGAACTCAATCCCTGCCCTATACAACTGATATTTTAAGCTGTGTCTCTCTGCTCTCTAATTTCTTTAAAGGCAGTTAAAAAAAATTAATATTTTATTTCTTCCTCTTTTCTCTCACTTTCTCATTTGGCCAATAAAATCTCTAGGTAATTGTATGATCTCTTTCCTGTTGAGATTAGCATTTCATTCGAAATAAGCAGACTTTAAATCAGATTTCTTCCCAGTGCAAAACACACGATGCAACAATTTGCAGGATATTTCTGTATGTGAAAAGATGTATTGTCCCTGAGAAATGTTAAGTACCTAAAAGTATACCAGGCCATGGAGAAATGTCAGTAAAAGCTTGCAGTAAATCTAACAATGTATGAGGTGCATAGCAGCCTGAGTTGCCAAAACTGTGCAGCAAAACAGGATCAAAACCAGGGAAGCACTATTGTAACTGCCATGCTTTAGGGCATACTGAAGGTCCCATGTCAGCAGGGAAGTGTGGCCCCGAGCTGGCTGGCTGTGCTTCAAGTGCTGAACCAAGGTAGCTCGTGTAAGATATTGCCAGTGAGTCTGCAGCCCACGTGGCCGTCAGGCGCTGAACTGTTCTCTGTCCAGGCATTCCAGGATGTACCTGCCCACTTGCAATGCATGAACATGCGTAGTGCAGGTAAAAACTCATTTTTATGTGTCTGTATATGGATGTGAATGTAAAGGATTCTATATCTGCGTGGATACATAGGATGATCATAGGAGGGTCACATTTAGTGACAGTTAAAAATTTTTCAACACAGGAAACCAGTTCAGACTAAAGGACGTTCAGCAGACCTAAGTGGGTTCTTACTGGTTTGATTGCTTCTTTCCTACATGTGGATTCCCTTCAGCTGTCATTTCAAGGCTATTTTTAATTCTGCTACAGCTAGTCATTAGACAATTTGGAAGGATATTTACTTGAATAAAAGGCTAATCTTCTTACTCCTGCTTTCAGTTGTGAGACGATTTCTGGCAAAACCTTTGCAAAGTGTTGTGGCCTGTGTGGTGCTCTCCTGTCACTTCCTTGTGGGCTAAGTATCATTTTGGCCTGGAGCTGAAGAAAACTAAGTGTTGGTTTATTGATTATAGTATGTATCAGTTCAGCACAAGGCCAGGGTGCTCAAAGCTCGAAGACACAGAGCATACAGAATACAAGGACACAGATGTCAGCTTTAATTCCAGGTCGCCTCTCTTTGGCCCATGAGTGTAAAAACCTCATGTCCTTCCTCTGCAAGGGTGGTAGCAACATCTACATGACAGCAATCAGCTACAGACCAACGTTCAAGAAGAGAGGGCACCTACACTTTCATCATTAAAGGTCTGGGATGTTTCTTTGGCAAAAACTTCATACACCTGCAGTCCATTCTGCATGGGCAGGAGGGCAATGTTGACTTGCTGGAGCGTTATACCTGACTGTGAAATTTTCTCCTCACACAACTGAAAAGCCACATGTGTGCCGCAGAGCAAAGTCAGGGAACTCACCACGTGAGAAGGCAGCGGTACCCTCAGCTGTTTGCCTTGGGCACAGAAGTCGCAAATTAATAATCTTTCTACAGCGTGTGAGCTGTGACACTCCTCAAGCTCTCTCTATAACATCTTCCCTGTGATAATTCAAAATCTGAGGTCGTTTGTGTAGTCATTAAATTATGCTGGGTGCAGAATTTCCCTTTTGCTGGATTGTTGGGCTGTCCATCACCTGTAGCTACAGGAGGCCCTGATCTTGCAATTTTGGGGCAGTAAACCACATTAACATTTCATTTGACAAATAGAGCGTGATAGCAAACAAAATCTGCTGGAAACACTGTTCTTGTAGTACTTCTGGTCCAGCCAAACTGGGGAATTCGCTCTTGATCTAGTACTGAAAATCATCCTTGCACTAGTCCTCAAACATGAAGCTCTCTGGGCAACTAAGAACAGAGAGAACAGGAAAGATTGTTTTCCAGCTTTAAACATCAGCTTCAGCAATTATGAAGAACGTGTTTGTTGCATACGTGGATATGTTGAATATCATTAGTGTGATGGAAGATAATTTTTATCTTGTTACAGATGGTGGCCTTCAAAAGCAAACCGTCAAAATACTGAAAAAGAAGCAAATGATAACCATTGAAAAAAACAGGAATAAATTAAGTCTGAATTTCGGATAATCCTGGTTTTCATCTGCTGAAGTTTTGTAAATAAAGAATCAAATTTTATTGTGTTTTCCTATTCCTTTAGCACCTTCTGCAGATATTGAGATTAGGACTTTAATCTGATAAACACTGTACAGATTCGTTCTTTTCTGCTGTTTGCAAACATGCTTGTATTTCTGTGTCTGCCTATGTTTTTAACTTAAAGTTCATCAGTTTTTTTGTGGTTATCCATTCCTCTATCGGAAATTTCCTTCATGCTATTCTGTTGTATTTTTCTCCCTTTAGAAAATGCAATTGTTGGAGAAAATCTCATTGGAGCATTTATAAAAGAGATTAAGGATGGTGCATTTGTCCTGAATTTGGACTCCAAGCAGTTCCTAGGAGATTCTTTCACTGATTTTCCCCGGGATGAAGAGTTTGATCTGTCTCCGAGTGTGCAGCTAGGATGCAGAGTTGGGTTTCGAAGAGTTTCGTCTGCTGGGAAAGCAGTCCCGAATTCACAAGGATGTGGTATGCCTCAGTTTAGCTTTCCCTTTGATATTGTTATGAATCAGTATATATCTAAAATGAGAAAATCATCACTGAACTTGTGTTTATGGTTAATATATCAAAGGTGTGAAGCACGAACATGAATGATAAATGTGAGGAGAGATGGGAGTTAGTGCTTTGCTTACTGTTCAGTCCTTGGGTTGAACTAATGATCAACTAAAAGGCATCATGGCACTGACGTTGTACAGAAGGTTTTGCAGACATTTTTGGGGTTTTACTTAGATCCGTCTGGTTTTAGAAGGCCAATCAGTAATATATGTGATCCTTACCAAGAAGATTACACAAAGGTAATGTAGGCAGTGCTTCAGGTTATGATGTTACCCAGAACAGAAATGTAGATGCAGAGGTGGTAAAAGTCCTGAGATTGTGAATTCCTGGGCCAAGTCCAACCAGCTCAGATGGAAGCTTTCTTGGTGCTGGCCAACACGCAGACCTGATTGTGCTTCTGCTCTCTTTCCATCTTCTTTCCTTCTGTTTAGTCTGCTTCCCTGGAACGGGCTGCCTTTCTGCCAACATCTGGCTCAGGGGCTGCCAAACCTTCCTTTTCGATGGATCCCTGTGGCTGTGCCAAGCAGTCTTGTGTTACTGTGTTGTGCTGCCAAAAGGCCTTTGACTTAGCAGCCTTGTTCTTGCTTCTACCAACATCAACCCTCCTACAATGCAACCCTGACCGTTCTTGTTGGCCCTCTTAGCCTCAGTCTTACTTACATCTGTTTGGGGTGTATTCACTATGTCTAGCTTTTCTGGGGAGAAGAGAGGAAGGACGCACCACTTCCAGGTATAAGGGCAACAGCAACAGGTATTGGACAAATTTTCCAGTATGGGCAATATTTTCAGGAGGGGAAGCTTCAACACCATGTAGCTTAAGTTAGAGACCCTAAGAGCAAACCAAAAAACATGAAAAGACCTTAGGTCCCTGCTTGCTATGGTGGTTCTTTTTAAGTTAGGAGATCTTCCTCATGCCCGGGCAAGGGCTTCAAAGTAATCAAGTGATGAACCAGTTCTGAAGTGATACGGTTTCCAGCTTGGACCTTTAAGAGTAGATTGACTGCAGTTTCACTTCATGTCCATAGTCTGAAACGCTTAATTTTGGTTAAATACACCATGCAGAAGAAAGTTTAATTCCTACTGAAAATTCAGAGTCTGTAACAACTTGCAGTTACTTAACAAGATATACTGCTCTACTGATTAAAGGTATCATTATTTATTAAGTAGAATCCATTATTCAGAGCAGAAGAACTTACACAGAATTGTATCTTTCTGCCAAATATTTCCTGCCAGGGGTAAGGGCCTCTAGGAAGCAGCGAATTAATTTGCCTTGTGAGCTAGTTCATACATGTTTGAACCAACTAGCTGAAGAAAATGTCACTCAGTAAAGCAGAATTATAGAGCTGTGGAAAGGACACAGTCTCTGCCACAGCTTTTGGCAGAGATTTCATACTCTAAAATGTCATGGTATGCACGCTGCTGGACACTGGTTTGTAAAGGAAGACTTTAGTTTCCAGCTCAGTTTCTTTTTAAGACACTGCACTCTCTGAAGTTAGCAGCATGTTTTTTCAGACAGCGTGTGCGACTAGCAGTGATAACACCTGATATTTACAGTTACTGCCAGGGATCAGGATGCAGAAAGGCTCTTGCTTTTGACTGCTTCTGTAGTGACCAAGGTCACTGCTGGATCTCCTGTACCACCCTAGGGGTGCCAGGAAGTCAGAGGGATCACAAGGAAGTAAAAGGTTGCACCTCTGGTGAGTAACATTCAGGACAGGTGATGAGCAAGAGTATTCCATCCCATACACATCATATTCAGTATAAAGTGAGGGATCATGAGCGTTAAGGTTTCTTCTTCAATGGCCAGCATTTGAGGAGGGCTCTGTCCAGTCTTCAGCCTTTGATCCTGACCTTGAGTTCCTGAACCCAACTCCTGCTGCTGCTGGGCCTGGGGATCTCCTGGTGCCACCTGCTCTGCAGCATCAGTGGTGGTTGCTATCGGGGGGGGAACTGGGTTTGGTATTGGTTTTGTATATATGTTACAGCTGTTCTGGTTTTCTTTTCTAATCTGTAAATCCCTCTGCCTCATTCCCTTTCCCTTCCTCTTTTGGGGAGGGAGAGGGTTTAGAGAGCATCTGTAGCCAGCCGAGTACACACCTAGTAGCCAGCCGAGCTCTAACCCTTGACAGTTATCTTTGTTTTCTTCCACATTTTTATGATTGATCCTTTTATTATTTAGAATGCTTGATGATTCTGTAAGAGTTGCTTTAGCAGAGCACAGCCCAAATAAAAATTAAGTACTAGATTTATAGCTGAGCTGGCAGCTCAAGACTTCAGTTCTAATAAACTAGACCAAGAATCTGATATCCCCAAGTTTTCCAGTACCCCTAACAGGGAGGAGAAAGCAATGCAAGAATTTGGTAATGATCATTTGTGACAGTTCTGAAGGCCACTTAGCATAGCAAGAGCTGACCTTAAGTAAAAGGGGGCTACTGTGAGGAGGATATCCCTGTGTGGTCACTCCAGTGAGTTCTTTAGCTCAGAATTTATTACTCAGCATTTTGCTTCTTTGGTACCTAAAATGTTGAGTCTGATTAGAAGTGAGAACAGGCAACAAATTTAATGTGCAGGAGCAAGGGATTAAATTTAGGGTTTATTTTTTATGTTTATATTATATTTTATTTTTTTATTTTAGGGGTATGAAGTTTGGGCCCAGTGCTAACACCTAGCTCTGAGATTTTGGCTGAAAACTGATCTCTAGTATCTTATGCTGTTAAAACTCATGAATGTTAAAACTTGAAAGAAGTACAAAGTGATGGTTTGTGTGTTGTTAAACTTAACCTCTACATGATTGTGTGGAGTGTAACCTGTAGCTGAAATGATACATGCCTCCAGGCTCTAGAAAACATGCGTCTCAGCAATTTTTTGCTGTTCTTTGTGCCCTTTTGCTAATCTAGTGCGTGAGACAAAAGACAATTTTACTTGCTTAAAATGTGATAGGAAACACAGATGTTACTTTCACATCGTGACTAAAACTATAAAACCAGGAGAATGCTTTGAAAGGCTTAATTTGTTCCTTTTAAAATTGTAATTTTAAATTAGTTTCCCTCATCCTTTCCATTTTGTCTTCAATTTAGGCACAGATTACTCATTTTGTTTTAAATTCTATTGTTGTTCCTTTACAATGAGTATGATCCTTTTCGTATGTGTTGGAAAACGTCTTTAAAATGTATCAGCCACTCTTGTGTATTAAATAACGTGTTTGAGAAGGGAGAATTCTATCTGATTCAAGACTCTTTTGTTCTGTAATTTACTTTAGATATGTGTTATACGTAGAGTAATTGCCTTGATACATACTTGGGTGGAAAATTTCAGTCTCCGTGTTGTCTCATCCTAGACCTTGCTATTGGAATATTTAGAGCAGATGAAGGAAGATTGGAGAAGATATGATCATTTCTATACCAGTTGTCTTTTTAGTCTATTATAATTTAAGTGTTCCTATAAGTTAACTTCATTTACATTCTGGTCTGTTGGCAAGAACAGCAAGTCATCATATAGGTTGTAGTCGGGTGACCAATTTTCCATTACTGTTTCTCATACAAGCTTAAACTGCTGTCAAGATGTAGGGCAAGAACAGGAGTGGAGTTTTGAGCTTTGTCAAAGTCCCAAAATGTACATTTGATAAGGTTTTCAAGGAAATTACATCTGGAAAGCAGCTGCAGAAAAAGTATTGTCCTGCAAATGTGCCTGCCGCTCTTCTGCTTTAGTGTTCATTCAAATGATCTGGAGGGAAATACAGTATTTCATGACCTCCCAAAAGACAGAGAGTTTTCTTTGTAATATGCAACTGGTCAGCTGGAAATATTACTCCTGAATGTTCTGACTAAGAATATATTGTTTGTTTTGTGTTTGGGTTGTCGTGTGCACAACTAGTGACTTTTAATCCAGCCATTACTGTTTAGTTTGGAAGTGCTTACCAAAAATTTTATTACTGGGAACTCTGACTGAAAGTGTTACCATATGGTAGGTTTCTTCATGAAGTTTTTGGAGTTTATATTTCTAGGAGCCTTCCTGTTTCTGTCTATAGTGTAGAAGTTACTCTGTTTGTAGCTGATGTTCCTTTGACAACTTATTCACAAAGTCCATTATCTTATTACAAATGGATTTGACAAACGGAAATCAGGCCTGGTCTTGTCATTCCCAAGTAGCTTGATGTGCACCAATTCCAGAACATTTTTAGAGTGATCTGAGGAGATCACAGGCTATATTCCAGTCATTGGTGAGTTTAATGAACGTATACACACACACACACACACACGTGTAGATGACTGAACTGGTTGGATTCCAAAAGAGTAATAAGGTGATTGTTTTCTTTGCAGTTGTTTGTCCTCCAGGCAGCCATTTCCAAAATGATGAATGCATTCCCTGCCCACTTGGCTACTATCAGTATCAGATAGGACGTTCCTCTTGCGTCAAGTGTCCTTCAGGCACAACAACCAAGTCCTATGGGGCAGCTAGCACTGATCACTGTAAGTTGAACTCATTTTTTTTTCCATTATCCTTTGTATTCTGGCTTCAAATAGCTATTTTTTTTTTCTTTCAACTATAAGTTTAAAAAAAAGGAAACCCCTCCCTCTGGGCTTTTTTGGATGGATATAATCCCTTGTACATACATTCAAAGACATTTGACAGAGACAGAACAAACTGTCTGGTGTTTTGACCAAAAATTCATGAGAAAAGAGTGGTCAGTCTCATCCAGTATGCTGTGGTTCCTTAAAACGTGTTCATTGTCCTCAGGAGTGAGACTGTTCAGTATCAGTGAGAAACATCTTATGTACTTCATTCATTGTCACTTTCGTGAACATTAAAGTTGTCTTTGTGCAGCTCTTTCCCCTGCAAATAAAAATACTTGTCACAAAGCGACTATCGATCTGTTCACTGACATTGGTGTATTCTGTTTAAATGAACTATTTTTGCATGAAGTGCCATTAAGAAAATAACTTAAGTCCAAATTCAGTTCTGTCTGCAGAATTAGCTCATGAATAAAAATAAAAGTGAGAGTAGTAAGAATGCATTTCTTGGGAGTATTGATGAGTATATGGTCTGCTTTATTCTATTTCAATCTATTTATTCTCTTCCCGCTCGGTCCCCATGTGTTGCCAGGTCTAGTCGAGAGGTGGCGTCCCTGCCCATAACAGGGAGGTTGGACTAGATGATCTCTAAGGTCCCTTCCAGCCTAGGCCATTCTATGATTCTATGATTAGGTGGGTTAAAACCCCGGATTTGTTCTAAGGCACCCTGACATCAATTAACTTTTGCCTAAAGTCGACATTTTTCATTTCTATAGCTGTTCCCTGTGTAGGTATTGGACTCTCGTACTTAAAAATTTGCTTCTTAGTTTTTCTTTACTGCAAATGCCTACAAGTAAATCTGCTTCCTGCCTTACCTGTGTGCTGAGTCTCAGTGCCAGCCCTTTCCAAATGGCCATGCCATAGACATTTAGCTTGCTTCTTTCTTTCTTTCTTTCCCTGCTGTCTCCTTACAAAACCTGAAATATTTGCTGAATTAATTGGTGTGATGGTCCTTGTGCTTTTCAGAATATTTCACAGATCCATTGCAGCAGGCACTGAACAAACCCATGTGAAAATACAGTTCCTTCTCTGTACTTTGCTTTACAGTGCTTAGCATACGTGGAGATTTGATCCATGGAAGAGAATCCCAAACATATTCCAAATAGGAATTTCCATAACAACAAAGCAGTGAGATTACCACAATTCAGAGCATGAAGCACCGTGCAAGCTGTAGATTGATGTCCAGTGAAGTCTCTGTTGTACTTAGAGCACTTTTGTCCTACGGCACTGAAACAATGTCCGACTGCATTGACAGGACCAGAGTAAAGGGAAAGACAGAAGGTTCCCTCTGAACATCAGGAAACACTTTTTTTTTACTGTAAGAGTGGATGAGCTGTGGCATAGATTGGCTGGGGACGTTGTGAAGTCTTCTACCTTGGAGATGCTAAAAAGCCATCTAGGAATAGTCCTGGGCAACTGACTTTAGGTGAACCTGCTTGAGCAAGGGAATTGGACCAGATGGCCTCCAAAGGTTCCTTCCAACCAGACCCATTCTGTGAAACCCAGTGACATACCTTTTTTTTATACCTTTTTTTTTTTCTTCTTTTGTTTACTTGTAACAGGTGTCACGTACTGTCAAAGCAACGAGCAGGGTCTGCAGTGTGATGAAGATGGCCAATATAGACCTTCCCAGCAAGACCCTGACACTGGGAGATCCTTCTGCGTTGATGACTTTGGAGCAGCACTGGACTGGACTGAAACGGATGATCTCCTTACAGATTACCAGTGCCTAAGTAAGTGTCAGGAGAATATTTTGGATATTTTTTGACCCACATAAGTGAAACCTCCTTTTGAAGAGACTCACCACTCCACATCTTATGGTGATTCATTTTCCCATAGTCATGGCCTCTGCCTTAAGCCACATTCCTCCTTAATTTCACATTCCTTGACTTCATTGGAGAAGTTAGGTTAGAGGACAAAAGCAAGTTGCAGTCTCAAATGGCTGACAGCTTTGGCTGTGCACTGGTCTCCTGATCTCTGCTTGAAAACCCAAAAGAATACTGAGAGTGCTAATGGGAAAGAAGCAGAATTATGAATTTCTTTGTAAAATTACCACTCATTACTGTGTTCATGTGAAATAGACTGTGTTTGCAAATGACCTCACAACCATGGCAAAAAATCACTGTCTGGGCTCCTGCTTTATTGTATCCAACTTGGTGAACATATGCTTGCAAGCTGGGGTAACTTCTGCTTGAACGTAGTTGTGAAATGTCAATTCTCAAGGATGGATAATTTGAAAAAAAAAGTCATCCATCGAACAGTCCCCAAAGTATCTGCAGTAAGGTCTAACTATGCTTCTCAGCCTCAAAGCTTTCACCTTTCCCAAAAATAGTTTTCCAGAAGTTTTTGTTACACTTCATATGATTGATTTTAATGAAATATTCAGTTTAGGAACGGATGATGTGCTCTGAATTAGACAATGTCTTATGACAAGTATGATCAGTGGAAGGAGTGTGAAATGAAAGCCCTTGGTTGTGAGGAGTTTGCAAAACTATCTTTAGTTAAAATAGTTATTTTTTTCTCTGAGTATGCACAGAGACATTACAGATTTCAACACGAGGCGTTAGCCTCTTGTTCTTAGTCATGGGGTACTTGCGATTGCTTCTCTGGAGGGAGGACTTGCAGCAGCTTAATTCTCCTGTTCAATCAGTACCTTGAGCCATCGGGCATGAGCATTTCTGACTCTTTCCAGGGTAAAGCAGTTGTAGATACCTGTGCTTATATCTATGGATCATGCCAGAAGATTTCACTATGCTAGAAGATTTCCCTACTAATAAATATTTATAAGTGTTGGCAATTCAGGGCTTTAAAAAAAGCCACAACAAATACTCAAGAATTCTGGGTTTTTTTTAAAGAATTTGCAGAGTAATTTCTTTTTTTCTTTTAAACACCATGCTGCATTTCCAGAAAGCATTATATGAAGCGAAACCATTTATGTCTATTTTTAATTTCCCCCCCTGCCTCTTCTATTTCCCCTAAATGGATTTAGCATGCAACAAAACAGCAGAGTCTGAAAGCTGATCTTACTTTGACAGGAGGCTGTTGATTGGGCAGAGTCAATAACCTGGCTGTTATTTGCTTTTTGAGTCTTCAGATGGAAGAAGAATTCCCTTGTCCGAATGCAGAGAAATAAGCCATAACAACGCATGCTCATTCTTATTGCTCTCTCTGTCTCTCATTACATTTTAAGCCAGGCTTAACAATTATTGCAGCAACAGAGATCGGATCTAGAGTTTTACTCTAGTAGTATGCGAGACGGAGAATTTCCGCTATGCTTTAAGCCCGTGAAATGTCTGAGTAGTTATATTACTGTTAAGAAGAGGGCAGTGTGAACTAACAAATTCATGAAGATAGGAGTTGGTAGAATATTTTTCATTGTACTTTTTCTTTTTAGACAAAGTAACTTATAAATGCAATTTTTAAAGCCTTTTTAACACTGAAAATAATTCAAGAATTAAAAAGGAAGCTTTTCTATTAGTTTTACAATGAATTTAATAAGTTTAAAGTTTTGTTGCACTTTCTGTATCTTCTGTACTTTTCTCCTGTATTATTGTAGAGAAAAGGGAGGGGTGGGCTGAAGTCATAATTAGGAAAAAAAAGAAAACAAAAGAAAAACATTTTAAAATATCATTTTTTTTAGTTTGAAATTTACATTAGAAAGGAGGTTAGCAAAGAATTGTTAAAACAGAAATACTGCTTATTTTCAGTTTTATGAAGATATATGAATTCTGTTTTCAACCAGGCATCATGAAAAGTTCCAAATGCAGAAGTGATTCAGTTTAGTGCAGAATTAAGCTAGTGCTTATATTTTGGTGTCCTGTGTTTCTAGGAAGGGAAAAAACCTCGACTTTCACCTCTGTTTACACCATCATTCAGCCGAGCCGGAGTGCAAGGTTATTTTTGTGTTTAGTGTTTGGCTAGCCCTCACAATTTTTCTGAGCAGAAATGATGGTTTTATCAAAAGCACCTGCTGATTCAGCCCTGACAACAGTGGACATTTGCTTCTGATTTAGTCCTGACTGTTTTGCTGTAAGAGTACAAATGATTGTTTTAAGAACTTATCCCTGAATCTTATCTCGTGATTTGTCCAGACATTTTGAGGAGAAAGATCTGGGAGTCTCCGTCTGGGCCTCTGCACCCACAGGCAAGAGAAGGGCTGAGCCCCAGCCCTTCCTCATGCAGACATCTCCCAGGGGATGAGGTCAGACAAAGGCTCCTGCTTCTTGTATCTTTTAGGTCTAGGCTAAGAATTGACTGCAATGAGCCTGAGGTTTGCTTTCATTTGAAGTGCTTGGACTTGTTGAAGCAGGTCCAGAGGTGGGCCACAGAAATAATCAGAGGGATGAAACAGCTCTCCCATGAGGACAGGCTGAGAGAGTTGGGTCTGTTCAGCTCAGAGAAGAGAAGACTCAGGGAGAACTTACTACAACCTTTTCACACTTTAAAGGAAATATGGGGAAAGATGGAAGCAGACTTTTTAATAGGCTCTATAGTGATAGGTAATGATTGTAAACTGAAAAAGGGTAGATTTAGACCAGATATGTGGAAGAAATTTTTTATGATGAGGGTGGTGAGACACTGGCACAGGTTGCCCGAAGAGGTGGCAGAAGGCTCATCCCTGGAGACATTCAAGGTCAGGAATGGATGGGACTCTGAGCAACCTGATCTAGTTGAAGTTGTCCCTACTCACTGCATGGTGGTTGGACTGGATGACCTTTAAAGGTCCCTTCCACCCCAAAACATTCTACAATTCTATGATTTAGAAGAGAAGTCTGGCCACTACAGGTGATTTGAAGTCACCACATTCTTTGCTTTTCCTTAATATGATGTGCTCGCTGAGAGATGCTCATACATCAACATGTGAAAACACTGTACTAAACCCCTTGTAGTATAAGTAGTAGCAACCTGAGCAGGTAATGCCACTGTGCATCTATAATTTTCTTCAGGGTACAGCCAGGGCAAAGCCTTCTGGAGATTAAGTTGGATTCTTACCCTATTTAGTGACCTTTGGATTTTTCATCTCCAGACACCCATGAGTTTTCCCAGTTTGTGAACAGTGCTGCTTGTCAGATATCCTTATACTCAGGTACAATGGGTCCAATCAGAGAGATAAAAAGAGTTTGGTAAGTAAAGTGACAGTCTGGAGTTAAAGGTTGAATGAAGGCATAATAAAGGAGTACATAGGACATATTACCTTGGGTAGATTCCCGAGCCTGAAGTCAGTGGAGATCAGGCTATTCTGCTTCTGTAAAAAAGTGATAAGGCTCCTCAATTCCCTTTCTAACCAAGTTCTGAGGGAGCTGGCTCTTGTTTCAGTGGCTGTTTTGCAGAAAGTTCATTCCCCTGTTGACTCAGTAGCTGGTTCAGTGCCACAAACAAGTAATGGGAGATGACCAGGATGCTGCTGGAAGAGAAGTCTCACTTGAATACTAACTTGCAGCCCATTCCTGGCTATAACTGTTTTTTAAAAGATCTTATGACACATTTTTTTTTAAAAGTAGAAATTATATCTGCAGTCCAGCTGTCTCCTGCGGTATCTGTGGGGTTATGGTACATCATTTAATGAATAAATCTCTTTCCTTACAGAGTTATTCAATTTTTATTTCCCTCTAAACTTTTTGTTTCTCTGCTGCATGGAAAGTAATAATAGTTACCTGTTTGTTTTGGGTTTTTTTTTTGTTGTTGCTTCATTGGTTTTTTTTAAAAGTTCTTAGAAAGTTTGAGAGAGTTCCTGCATCCAGACTGATTTATGGGTCAGAGGAAGCTCAAATTCTTCAGTCTCAGTCATTTGGGAGAGACCTGCAAAGTCCAGCTTTTCAGTGCATTTCAGGTGAGCAAATCTCTCAGAAAATCTGTAGAGGCAACACTAACCACCATGGAAAATAACAATATTTTTATATGATGAGTTTATAGTTAAGTTCCTAGATGAACTATATGTTTCGCAGTTCATCACGAATTCACTGCAAAGTATTTACAGCTTTCAGTGACCTTGGTTCATGGAAGAGCTTGGTCTTTCTTTCAGAAAGAAGACTGACTTTAGATACCACTTTGACCAAGTCATGTGACTTTGAAGCCAGTTGGCATAGTTCGCAATACCTATGAGAGCTGAGATTCAGACCAGGAAACGTTAATCAGGCTTTCCAGATGTGCAGACAAAAGAAGGATTAGGTGTTCAGGACATGTGAAAACCAAGCTTTCGCCTCTTCCCAAATTACCCGATTGGCACATAAAAGAGGAGTAATCATCCTTGCTTTCATGAGGATATTATAAGAAGTGCAGAGATATTCCTTTGCTGAGCTTTGCAGTGTATATACTATATTACATCTAGATGTGTCATGTTTCCTGATTTGTATTGGTTCAAAGTAATTTAAAACCAAGGACAGTCACTGCACTATTTTCAGAGTGCTTTGCTCTCACCTTCTATCTGTTAATGCTCAGACTGTGAAGAGTGGCAGAGAGGTCATCTTCAAAATAAAAACACCCTGGCGCTGGCAGGAATTGCACAGGTGGCCTGCTTGTAGGGCAGACATCACAGAAGTCTGATAAAATCAATGTCTTTGTGCCACATACCATGGACTAGCAGAGCAGTCATCTCTCATGCTAAGAAGTGAATACTTGAATTTTCTTCACCAAATCATCCCCTAGCTGTATGTTATAAGATTTATTACATCTTTGTCTGAAACCAGAGACCTTCAAAAGCAAGATACTTTGCTGAGAGAACTGTAGGTACAACCTTAGGGAGGAAAAGGTGCCCCTTTGTGAAGCAGTAGGATTCAGTGCACATAGCGTGTGTTTTCATTACAAGTTACATCCACTGTCAAATGGTGGAACTACTACAAAACACGATTGTTGGGTTGCTAATTGAAGGGTGAGGGCTAATCTTTCCCCCTCTCTTTTTCCTTATAAAGTCCGGTGGCTTGGCTTACGTGATGATGTCTTGATCTAAGCTGGTTAGTTTTATACTAAAGACTTTTGGGAAGTGATTTCACTTTCTGTTCTAGGAGCAGAGCTGTGGGAGCAAGTCAGTGGTGAGCGTGTAAGGGCAGAAAGATCTCCTAAATCTGGGGGGGAGTAGCTGCTTGCTCTCTTACACTTGCTGCAGATGCAGCCAGCACAACACAAGAATTTTATATTTCCTTCCTTCCTTTCCAATATTTGTCACAACCTGTTTGCCATGGGGTTACTGTATTAGGCAGATGCCTGTGCTGAGGTTCATAAGTCTTCCCTGCTTGCCTTAGGCAAAACTACCCAACAGGCATTAAGTATTTGGGTGGATAGTTAAACCTAACTCAGCTGTTTGTATTTATCATCAGGTAGTAAATAATTTTTGCATTAAAATTAATTTTAAAACCTAGCCCTCTACTAAAATAATTCAGTGCTGAAGTTCATCTGGCTAATGAAATTCATGTACCTACAGTCTGACAGAGGTATGAAAAACTAGGCACATGGCAGTAAACAGGGGAATTTGTAGCAGGATTTTTGCACGTGAAATACTAGGAAACCTAAGGTTTCTTTCCTGTTTTTCAGGCTGTGAGAAGGATGATGCATGTGGTTTTGCAACGGTAACTCTTGCAGGTGCTGAAGTTCTCTGTGAATTATACAGTGCTGCTGAAGTCAACTTTAACTGCACCACCTCTGAATTGGTAAAAGTTATCGTACTTTAAGATATGTGTTTACCATAATACTGTAAGTTGAATATAAATAGATGGTATCACTGAAAAAAGGCAGGCTGCTACTAGATGCCTCTTCACTATGACTCTAAATTCCTGCAAGTTGGTAAAGAAACTACACCCAGATGTTTCCAAATGTGACATCTGAATGCCTTAGTGCTGGATTAAAACATCGCGTAGCACTTCTGTTCTTAAAATATGCTGAGATCCTGCAGCCAGGAAATCGGGTTAATTTAAAAGGAGGATTAATCTGGATAATTCAAACTAGAAGTATTCAGGTCAGTAATCAGGTCACCTGAAAGAGTCATCATTTCTCAGTTGCTTCCTCTAGCCTGGAGTTTGAATTGTGAGCTCTTTAGCAGCATAACATCTTCTTAGTTACTACTCTTAAACACAGCAAGTACCAAGAACACAGTCTAATAGAATAAAAGATGGCCACAGTGGGGCCCCATGGAACTGAGGTGGTCACAAACCCTGTGCACTGTTTCCTTCCTTGAAGGTTCTGAATAAGGAAAATATTTTTTAGGAGATTAAATCAATTGGGTTGTATTTATTGTGCCTTACCTGTTTTCTGTCTCAGGTGCAAGATGTTTTGGGGAACCCCACTGCCACTGGCGTCAGTCGTCTCAGCTGCCTGCTTCATGTCAGGAATCCAGGGGGAGACGCAGTGACGATTTATTTGAAGAGAGGTACCAGATGTGAATCTCATCTCACGGTAGACTGCTGTACCCAAATGCGTAGTTACTTCTGTAGAGCGTCATGACTAAATGTGGGGAGCATCTTTGCTTAAGAAGATGCAATACTTTTCAGAGCTTAACATTTAGTGACATCTCAGAAACCTCAGCAAATCTTCCCTTCTTGTCATTATCCCTAGAAATTAAGAATACAGCTTTTACAAGCCACTTTGATGTCTTTATCCAGCAGGTAGTACCACAAAAAAACCTCAGTTTCTGTCCAATGTATTATTCTTTTCCGTTTTACTATGATTTCTCTTTATTAAACAGTTTGTTATTTGAATATATAAAGCATTATTAATGATCAGCTTACACATAATTTGACAGTTCATATTAATTTTGATTATGAATTGTCCTACTAACATACCATGCAAGAAATAACCTGCTCTCCAGTGAATCCCAAATTGATTTAGCTGAACTAAGGAATGTACAGGATATTTTTTTATATATATATTTGGCCTAAGTGTAATTGATAGCACTGCATGTCCCATCCAACGTGTCCAATGTTAAGCCTCATGCCAAATCTAAAGCAAGACAACCAAATACAGAATGCTGAAGGGTTTGAGTTAAATCTCACTGCTGTCGATTTTCGTCTATACAAACCTCTGAGTGACTATTTATTAGTAATAACAAAAAAAGAGCTAAGTCTTACCTGCAAAAGACAAGTCCCCTGAGCTTTTTGCAACCAATGTAGTCTTCTTGTTGCCAGATCTAGATTTCTGTTGATATTGCTAAATAGATCCAGGATTATATGAGTCATATTCTCTTACACATGTCTAGTCAGCAGAAGCCTTAATTGCAGATGCAGTTATGATGGCCAAATTACACATTTTACTTTTTTTGATTAGTTTGTTTCATTTATACCTGAGACTTAACGTTGCTCTTAAAAGTGAAATGTTACCAACCTTACTGCATTGATTTAGGAGCCCTTTGCTGGTAGACTGTTCTTCCTACCCCAGCAGTACATTCTGGCCAATGGCCTAGGTATAATTATACAAAACTATTTGATGATCTGATCTTACATCTGAAACTCAAAGTCCAGAAAATGACTTTTAAGGCTGAGTTTTTATCATAAAACTTTCAACTAGCTCCAGTCTGAAAGCGATCCAAAAGCATCCCATCTCCTCTTGAGCTCTTTTCAACATCTTTTTCCTGTTCTGTCTACCCAGGACAAGAATTTAACTCATCTGGATTCAAGACCTTTGAAAGGACCAGTTTTCAGAATGTTCTTTCTGGCGTATATAGCTCCATAGTGCTCTCAGCAGCTGGCACATCTCTGACTGATGCTCAGCTCTTCTGTCGGCAGACTTGCAGCAGAGACTTCTGCTGTGATGGCTTCATCTTGACTCAGATTGCACTTGATGGAGGTATTGTCTAACTGCAAAATGGAAAATTTCACAGTAGAACTGTAGGTAGAAATAATGTTTGCACACAGTACACCTAGCTCTACATCGTACCAGTGTCAGCAGTGTATGTCTACATCACTGATATTTTTTGGTGTAGGCAGAATTTCAGTAATGCCCAAGACTTGCCCTGGAGCAATAAGGACCTGAGGTAACAAGCTGCTTTTGTGGAAAAGTGGACATTTTTGAAGAATAATTCTTTTGACCTGCTTTAAACAGTTGCACCTAGATGAGAAAAGTCATTCTGAAAATGCCTCTCTCCTTACATAACCCAGGTTGGTTGCCAGAAATTGGTGCCTTTCAGATGACGAGGACTGGAACTAGATGATCTTTAAGGTCCCTTCCAACACAAACCATTCTGGGTGTTTCTATGAGTCTATGGGGGAATTACAACAGTGTTTCCAGACAGAGTCCTTGTGATGCAAACACAAATTAACTTCCTTTTTGGAGTAGGAAAAGAGGATCCTGAACAGGGAATTTTGTCATGTTATTGTGTGCAGGAATTGATACACAGAATAAGAACTCTACAACCTAGAAGGTTATAAAGTAGGTATGTTTATTCAGCGCTGCGTGCACGGGGGAATATTTTTCTCCAAAAAACATGCACTCCTGAACGATGCAGCAACCTTGGTTATATGCAGTGAAAGTTACATATTCCTTAGATGTCTATACTCAGTTCGTGGGGTCTGCAGCTCCTTCTCTTGACGCTTGCACAGTGTCTCCTGGTGGTCTTGGGCAGCGATCTTCAGGGATGAAGGCTGTTTGTCTTCCTCATGATGAACTTTTCACCTTTCTCTCAAAACTAATCATCCCCAGCACATTTGCTAGGACTTGTCATGGGATTTCACAAGGGTCAGATATCCTTATCTCTAATGTCCTTATCAATTTGTGTTAATCACTAGTGTACTTGTCAGTTTGTTTCCGTTTTTTGTTCTTTTACACTGAGTACTTAACAGTTTCATCCTGTTGGCCTCTGATTGCTTACATCCTAATGACCCTGGGAGGTTGTTTCTCAGGGGATGCGATTTCCCTGTATCAGAATGCTATAGTCTCCTAAGCTTGGGTATTTAGCTAGGAGAGCAAGTGGAAGTGGGATGGAGAGAGTCTGGCAAGAGTGGGACTTATGCAGAGCCCAGATTTCTGCTAGCAACTTTGAGCAATAAAAGTCACTATCTGCTTTTCGTAGTTTCTTATATAGGTCACATGGTATCAACTTTCCCATTGGAGGTGCATTTCCTATAGAAATATTGAATACAGATTTTTACAAAGCCAAACATGTGCTACTGGCTGCTCTGTGTCAAGCATTTTGGAGTGGAAACCTCCTGGATTTCAGAAAACTTTCTCTGTGGAAGTTTTCAGGCAAATGTTTCCAGAAAATTATTTTCAGTTTCAGCATCTCATATTTTTTAGCATCGAGATTTTCCAGGCGATCTTGTAAAGTCCATTTCTCTGTACCTTTACCATCAAATTTTTGAGTTCTTCATACCTGTGAGTGTAGAAGGGGGTATGTGGAGAAAATGAATGTTGTAGAACTCTCTGGACCTATTTGGACCATTATTGCAGGTAAATGCATTACTTGGACTAGCATTTTATTTAAAAAACATATTAAAATTTAGGAAAAAAAGTAACATATTTGATATCTCGTGTACCCAGCCCATAAAAGCAAACAAGAGAGGGCATTGTAAAGCCATAGAAATGCCTGAGCTGTGGCAGCAAGTCCAAAACAAGAGCTGAGTATTGTCTAGACACAGTGGTAACAGACTGATGCCAAAACACTTAGTCTTAAGCGTGCTAGTCCCACCGGCTCACGTTGTGATGCTGGGAGAGATTCAGGCTTGGGCTGAAATCAGGAACCAATCCAGGAAACCATCCCAGTAAAAATATAAGCACTATCTTGGTTCAAAGCCTGTGATTGTAAGGGCGCCAAAGGATTGAATTATGTCCCTGTGGTGCTATAGTGCCGAGAACACTGTTGGGTATTATCAGATAAAAGTAATGTTATTAGGTGGTAATAGCATGTGCTTGAAATCTCTGAAAAGCAGGCTATATGAATAGCTAACCTTAGTACTCCAATTTGAACATATGTCTCTGATTTTCTTCTTTTTTTTTTTTTTGGAAGCAATACTAGAATGTATCTATCTCAGTGACATGGGTTCAACTGCCATTTAATAGAAAGTTTGGAGCTGCTCGGGTGAAAAGCTCTGTGTAGATGGAAAGCATTATTAGAGTGATGAAACTCTCTCTTTGCCTAAACCTAGGTACCATTTTGTGTAGCCTGATGAGCTACCCAGATGTGCTGATCTGCAATGCAGATGGATGGAGTCCAACATCAACATCTGTCATAGATGAGATGTGTAAAGGTGTGAGTTATGACGAAGAAGAGAAGACATTTTCCTTCACCCTGGGAGGACAAGTGTTCACTAGAAGTATGTCAATGAATTATCTCAATTTACATTATTTTTCTTCAGTTCTTGTATAGATTCTGCCTTTTCACCAGCTTTCTCTTTAGTACTTTTTTTTTTTTAAAGTAAATCCATATCTGTGCTATTACAATAAATTAAGAATTCTGTATTTGGATGCATTGTTAGATAGATAAACCTCACATTTTATTGGGTGAACATTAGTGAAAGTCAAGACTGTGTTTACTATGTCACCCTGTAATGTTTCCAGCATTTAATTCAGGCAGATTCAAGGCAATAATCTGAAAGAAGGATGTAATCTGGAGCAAATCCAAAAAAAAGAGATATTCCCAGAAAAATCAGTGCTGGAAAATAAAGTAAAACCTTGGCAACCTGAACCCAAAGTAACTTCTTCCTTAGGGTTTTGTATTGTAAATAAGGTGATGCGTAGTCTAGTGATGTGTTATTAATGCAATTTCTGAATATTTCAAAACTATTTGTTTAATCTCAGCAGTTATTCTAACAGACTTTTATCTTTATTAGCTTCTAAGTTGGTAGAAGAGGCAGAAAGAAATTTTACTACCTCTCAGCAAGTTTACCTGTGGAAAGGTAAGTTATTTCACCGAAGTTCCTATACAAGCTTACGACAAAATGTAGGCAGTGGTAGATGTGTGTTCTGTTATGGAAAAGTCATTCTCACTTTACTTGATACTGTCCAAACTGAGACACTACTCAAAAGTCTTTTCTGTCAACAGTGGGTGTAATCTGAAGCAATTCTTCCAATGTCAGTTTCATGAAATTTGGGTAAATTCTTGTATCTGAGAATACACTTTATAATTTTTAATACCTGTGAAAATGATGATATGGAGGCACTTGTCTTTGCCCCATCAATGTTCAGGTACCATAATAATTTGACACTTCACATATAACTAGATGAGTTATTTTTATTAGCATGATAACCCTGTATGTGTTATTTTTGAAAATTTACCTTCTGATTGTCGCAGTGCCTGTAGCAGGACCTGCAAAAACGATTTGTGGTAATGCTTTATAAATGCTTGAGTCAGACCACTGATGCTGAATGTGTAATAATTGTGGATATGACATCTGCTTTTTCCTCCAAACAGTGTGTTTTGGTTTAAGTTTTCCCCAGAGTTATACGGAGATGGTTTAACTCTGGATGGGACTCTGGGCAGCCTGATCTAGTTGGGGGATGTCCCTGCCCATGGCAGGAGGGGTTGGAACTAAATGATCTTTAAGGTCCCTTCCAACTCTGACAATTCTGTGACTCTGTAATTCTATGAACTCATTTTTGATTCAGCAATTGATGGAATTGCCTAAAGAGTTTTCCTAAATGGTGCATTTTAAAATATTTGTTGACTTTTTGGAACTAAGAATGATCTTACCTTTTGGAAGATAGATAAAGGGAATTACTATGCTCTTTAATTCCTGTTACATTCCAGGCTCTGATATGATCACCCGGACTAAAAACTCTGCGTGCGATGCTGCTTCTTTGAAGACAGAGAATGATCTAAAGTTATCAGGTATTACAGTGAGGGCAGAAAGAGAAGGTAGCGGAAGATAGCAGAGGGGAGTGTAGAATTTAACCAGAAAATGTCATATATTTCTGTATATGTATCATAATGATATAGATATCGTGAAGCCCAAATGATATCTCTTAGGAAGATATCGTAGGAAGTTCCATAAAGGTTTTGAGAAGGATGTTTAAAATGTAACCCTCCTGTTTTTATGGTTTTTACCTTCCCAGGCCAGGCTGGAAATGAAAGTGTTAAAATGTTCTGTAAAAACTTGTTCTTTCGGGCTTGTGGAACTGTAAAGACTCAGGAAATATGTGACTGAGAAAATAATTTGCAATAACCCAGGAATCAAATCTCGGGTTTATGTATGTTTGGGTACCTGGGCATATTTACTGTTAATGACAATATGATGCTGTAATACTGATACTGACAATTGTAATATGTGATACTGACAGTACTACTGACTGTAAATATGATGCTTAGAGAAACTCAGGATGAAACTGCAGTCATAAGCATTTCTTCCATGTGTGACAAAAGAGAGTGACCCGTTAAGTTATTTAGCTCCTTTTTTATTCTAGGGTCTGCTCTTCATTTATACTAAACCATGTATATATCCAAAATAATATGTTCATTTGGGCTTTTAAGCACCATAATCCTAAGAGAAAGAGAGCAGTGGAGCTTGTTGAGAGTACTTTGGTTCATCTCCAGGGAACTGTAATCTTTGCTGAGGAGCTTTGATGAACACCTGAGCGTACGATTTAATACATTTTAATACACGTGAAATCCTAACATGAAGTGAATTGCTGATTTTACTTACGGAATTTGAAAGGAAGGTAAACTAAAATGCCCATTTACCTGATGGTGCTCCTATACAATCAGTTGTATTTTAGAATTTAGACTTAACAATGAGAAAAATAATGTGCTTAAGACATTGGGTGAAATTCTCTTTTGCCTAACTGCCAAGGCATGAGTGCAGCCCTCAGGATTCTCCATTTACCTTGCTGTGGCTGATGATATCATTAAAACCTGAAGTTATGCAAGGAATGTGGTTTCTTCCTTGGTCCCCTAATCTTAGTTATGTCACAAATTTGAAGACTGAAGCAAAGTCTTGAGAGGTAACAAGACTGAGAAGTCACCTTTTAAAAAAAGTTATAAATGCATCTACAGAGCTTTTATTACTTGATGAACATCCTTAAAGCACATGGCAACATATCTTTTCTATTTTCTGAAAGAAAATGCAAAGCTATTGTGCACTGCCAGCATGTCAGTAGGTGCTTCAGCATTTCAGCTGTGATCGTCAGTATGTCTTCACTTTTCTGTTTTCATTTTTGTCTGGCTGTTTTGGTGCATGTAAAATTAAATAACAGGATCTCTCGCAATGTTGGAGTAACTGGGGATGAGGCCTGCTGATGGCATTTGATAAATAAGAAGGCGTTTATGAAGAAATTTGTAAGAGATCAGTGAAGTGTGTCCATTTCTTTCAACACTGAATCCTTATTTAAAAGGATTTATTTGAGAACAGCCTGAAATAGCTGTGATTGTTTCAGAGGGAGCTAAAGGGATATCAGGCATTGCATACACGTCTCAAGATCACAGGCAGGTGACAGAAAAGAGTTATTTAATGTGCTCTGTGGGAGCATAAACTAGAAGAAATAAGGTTAGATGACTGTAAGAGGTATCAAGCTTGCTAAGAAATTTTTTAACACTGGGAGGTATAAAGCTTCTCAAGAGAATATAAGGAAACGGCTGTATTTTGGATTAATAGAACTACACTGATAATTGTAAACATCCTCTGAGGCATCATACTTTACTCTTAGGATGATGTGTTGAATGATAGAGTAAAAACAACCTCCTTATTTCTAGAAGCTGTGATTTTCATCTAGTTTTTGGGTGGTGGAAAGAGTCTGACAACTCAAAATTGTGCAGTGCAGCTCAGTGAGGCGACATTGCCTATATAAACCTCAATAACTGTGGGTGGACAATTCTGTTATTGAAAGCAGCCTTTGGTGTATGCTAGCCCTACAAAACGGTTGCAGCTGTTATCATGGAAGACAGAATTTTATATATAAATAGATTTAATTTATTCCAGATCATAGTTAAGTTTTTCATAGTTTTGAGCAGTTTGTTTGTTTGTTTGTTTGTTTGAATCTCAGATTCCACAAAGGATCTTTTCTACCTAATGGACAACAGTGGGATAGGAAGTGACCAGAACTATTCTCTCCCTTACCAGCAGTATTGGATCTTCAGGCAGAAGTACTCAGCAGAGGAAGCTGTGCTTTGGTGTCTCACACGTAAGACATCTTGGAGACTGTCATTCTGTAGGGAAGAATAATTAATTAAATATTTTAATAGGTAAGGTCTAGTTCAAGACCCCACCCTGCTCACTGCAGGGAGTTGGACCAGATGACCTTTAAAGGTTACCTCCAACTCAACACATTCTATGGTTCTATGATAATCATGATGAGTAGAAGTTGCTAATGGGCCACCTGTTTCTTCCTTACAATCTTTGTCTACTTTGGCAGAAAGTATTCCCATCACACAACATAAAGATAAGGGTATCCCTGTTATAGGCAACACAAGTAGAAGATGCAACTTAGACAATACTCTACTTTCTTGAAGTGTAACCCTCCAAATAGAAAGATGCTATAGTGATAAAAGGTAGTAAAATACAGATTTTCAGGGTTAATGTTAAATTATATTGTGATGCGATAAGTGGAGAAGAGTTTTTAGCTCTGATTACTGGGGAGGCAGAACCAAGAATGCTAAACCATGCACAAACATCACTGTAAGAGGTCAGTAGAGCCATGCTTGTTTAAAATCAAACATTGACATACATTAACAGAAGCCATTGCCAGAGTGATTAAGAAATAAGTTTGACAGATTGATTTCTTTTCTGAGAGTGTGTTATTACCCCAGGGCAAATTTCAGTGCAAATTCCTACAAGCAAATACTTGAACAGTTGATTCTCAAAGTTATTTATAGTTGTGTAGTGCATGTACACTTCAGAAATATTTTTTGCAAAAACTTACTAAGTCATAGCAAATACTTTATTTTATTGTCCTTTTTATTCTTTGAAGTAAGACACCCATAACTGATGCAGAGTTATTTTAGATACAGTTCGTATGTCAAATTTACTAAAAAGAGAGATGTCTTTATGAACCACGATGTTGGAACGACACCAATACACTAGGCTACTGCTTGTCAGGGCTGGGAAGCGTATCTTTCCAATTAGCTGTGGTGTAACTCCCTTTCTGTGCTCTCCAGTTAAACCGGCTCTTCAGTGTCATTAGAAACAGAATCTGTCTCTGTTTCTCTTGCACCATAGTAGAATAATCCTACATTCTCACTTTTAGTTGTTTCCTGAATGGGTAGCTTTAAGTGTGCTGAAGTTGTGAAGAGGAATAGAGCGGGGAAGAAACCCTCACGTGTGTGGAACTCTTAGTGACTTTTTTCCTAGGTTGCGCACAAGAAGATGAGTTTTGTCGAATGGCAGATCTTCAGAACGCCACAAACATATACTTTGTGTGCACACTCTATCCAGAGGCACAGATTTGTGACGGCAGCATCGATCAAATGCCAGAAAACTGTCGAACCGTGCTACCCTGGCAACCACAGACGTTGTATCGTAAAATAGGCAAGTTTGGCAATTTGGGTGTATGATGTGTGCTGTAACCCTGATAATGCAACCTTGGCTCTTGATTCTGAGATAAAAAGTCTGAATGTATGAAAGAGTCCTGGGATGTGAGGGGGCAAGGGAAAGTCAGGCTGTTCCAAGTACAGTTTTTCATTTTCAGTTCGGAAAGGAGAGATATTTTCCATGAATTCCACTCTCCTCCTCAGAGAGGCCAAGGGTAGCTCAGATAATTTGTATACTAGGCCTTAGATGTTTTTATAGTGTGGATGTTGTGGCCAGGTGCCCATACAGCTGCTTTATCATTCCCCCTTCTCTGCTAGACAGGGGGAGAAAATATAATGATAATATAATCCTTATAATAATATAATCTCATGGTTTGAGATAAGGACAGAGAGATCACCCACATCTACTGTCCCAGGCAAAATAGACTCGATTTTGGGGAAATTAGTTAAATTTATTAAAGAACAAATTAGAGAAGACTAATGAGAAATATAAAAAGTTCTTAAAAAAAAAAAAAATAAACACCTCCTCCCCCATCCCTCACTTCTTCATGGTCTTAACATCAATCCCAATGTATCCACCTCTTCCCACTGAGCGGCGCAAGGGGACAGAAAAAGGGGCTTGTGGTCAGTTCATCCAGTATTGTCTCCATTGCTGTTTATTCCTCTGGGGAAGGACTCCTCACTCTTCCCCAGGCCCTTGCGGGGTCCCTCTCATAGGCGATGATCTTCACACACTTTCTCCAATGTGAGCCCTCTCATGAGAGACAATTCATCACAAATTGCCCCAACGTGAGTTTCTCCATGGGGTGCCGTCCTTCAGGGGCAAACTGCTCCAGTGGGAGTCTCCCACAGCCTCACACAAGTCCTGCCAGCCAGCCTGCTCCAGCGCGGGCTTCCCACAGGGTCACAGCCCCCTTCAGGCATCCACCTGCTCCAATGTGGGGTCGTCCAGAAGCCACACATGGACATCTACACCCTGTCACTTCCATGAGCTGCAGGGGGACAGCCTGCTTTACCATGGTCTTCACCATGGGACAGGGGAATCTCTGCTCCAGCACCTGGAGCACATCCTCCCCTTTTCTTCACTGACCTTGGTGTCTTCACATATTCTCACTCTGTCTTTCTGCCAGTTGCTGTGTGACACAGTTCTTTTTTCCCCATTTCTTAAATATGTTTTCACAGAGACGTTCTATCCTAGCATCACTGATGGGCTCAGCCTTGGCCAGCAGTGGGTCCATCTTTGGAGCCGGCTGGCATTGGCTCTGTCAGACCTGGGGAAACCTCCAACAGCTTCTTGCAGAAGCCACCCCTACAGCCTTCCCCTCCACCACTGAAATCTGGCCAGACAAATCCAATGCAGTGGGTAGAATAGGAATATCATTGAGATTTAACCAATCCTCTTTTCAACCATTAAAATTTACATGGTAGTTAAGCCGTGCAAGAATTGGGAGTTATTGAGTGTAATATTTTATATATTTTTTCACAAATCCAGAGTTAGACAAGTGTAGATTTTAACCTCTGCACTTTGAATGCTGCAGAAGTTCAATGATTTTTGTCGTAGGGCTCATGTGAAAGTGGACAAACAAGCCTGTTATCACTGTACAGGAACTTACACTTTTGCTGTGAAAAATGCAGAGGCTCCCTGAACTAAACTATTAACTAGTGTCTTTTGGGGGAGCTCAAAGTGCAGGACAAGTTGACTAATGCATGAGTCTGCTCGAGACTTCCAATCTCTATTTGTCCTCCAGTTTTTGGATGTTGAGGAAGGAGTAGCGTTAATTCAGGTCTCAGAAACAGAAACCCTGGGTTGGAAGTCTTTCTTTGGTGATTTACTTTGCTAAGTTTTTAGAGCCTTTGCTTGTTGGATTTTTGTTCATCTTTTGCCTTAACTGTGAAAATTTTACTGTGATAAAGTGAAAATTGCCTTTTGATGAATCAAGATCATTGTAGCATAGAAACATAAGCTTTACCATGTGTGATTACTTGCCTAGCATACGTAAATTATAAGGTTAATTTGGTTTTTCCCATTGTTTGTCTTTTTCCTGCCAGTCACTCTAAAAAGTTCTGTGAAGAGCTTTTACACACGTGTGCCATTCCAGAAAGTAACTGGGATCTCAGTGAGGAATAAAACTGATATGAGCAGAAAATCTGTTTCAGATGGGTAAGATGTGACTGTTCCTTTGTTTCCACTGGAAGTTTAATCATGCCAAGGCCCTGTTATGCAGATGACAAGGATCAGACATATCAACCCAAGAAAAACATTATTTGAAAATATCTAGCAATGAAAAAACCACATATGATTTAAAGGAAAATCACAGTTGAGTTATAAATAACGTACATAATTAGTAATTATATGTATTTGTGGATTATTACTTATACTGCTATTAAATTGGTGGTTAGCCAGTTAAATCTCTTAGCAATAATACACAAAATTAATGTAAGCTGATATTTTTAGGGCAGATATCAAAATACTCATTTAAGTTATTAGATGTAGTCTGGTAGATATGTACTTATAGAACATAATTTCATCTACAAATGGAAAATATATGGAAGCATCTGTGCAGTATAAAGAATCATATGAAAGGCATCTCTAGAGGTTCTCAGTGTCTCTCCCCTATGCAGTATCATCTCTTCCCTTCTCTGTGGCAGAGACAGATGCTAATAAAAATAATGATGTTTTTCCTTCCCCAGATTTTTTGAGTGTGAGCGTTGGTGTGATGCTGACCCATGTTGCACAGGATTTGGCTTTTTTAATGACTCACAGCTATCAGGTATCACTCTTCCTTCATTAATGAAGTTCATAAATTTTTAAATTTATAATTATAAATTTTACCATCCTTCTACTGTGAAGGATGCTTTAAAAGCCCTTGCAGATCTTATGCAACTTTCTTTGGCACTTTTTTGAGTAATCATAACCATTTCTAGAAGTTCAGCCCAGTGACATGCTTCACATCTCAGAGATTATTAAGGACCTTCATGGGAATGAGTCCTGAAGAGGCTGCAGTTACAACAACATGAAATTAAAACTGATAAAACTCCAGGAAACCGTTACTTCTCATTTATCAACCTCTTTCCCAAAATGTTGGTTGGTTATTATTTGTGATTCTTTTTGTTTGTTTGTCTCATTTTTTTAAAGCCTAAGCACTCAGAATCTGAAATATTAGTGAAATTAAATACACATTAAGCACATAATGTCTGTGGATACTTTGGGCCAGCTTTCCTGGATATTTGAACTTCTTTGCTTCCAAATTTTAGTTTCTACCTGTGAGAGATTGGTTGGGGATAGAGATTGTGTATCTTCTCCTCCTCAGTATCTTAGTTACTTAAGAAATCTCAAGTCGCATTTCTGTTAGTGTGAGGAAATCAGTTCTTTACAAACAAATATGTGTAACTTGAAAGCCATTAGGAAGTCAAACATGTTTTACTCACCTGAGATGGCTAAGGGGTGCTGTCACTCTTTGGTCTTTCTATAATCAGCAGAGAGATGTATAGACACAGCTATAAGGATATTAAGAGCTTTGGAGGACTGAATTCTGTTCTGGAGACACTTTTCTTTCTCTTCTCTGGCTGTAAAGGCAGTACTTTCTTTAACAAAACTCTTCAGCAGGTGTTTAGAGTTGGATGCCATCCACGTCAAAGTCAGTGAAACAGTTCTTAATATTTTATTCCAAATTCAGATTTAGGCCACTAAAATGGCCAGTATTGTTTTCAGAAGTGTCATGTACTAAATAGCTGTCCCTGAGGATATTAAGATATGCTGGCTTTACAGTTAATTCAAGAATTCAAGACACTTCTTAAATGGATATTTTTCATTCACTTTTTTTGCTAAACAGACAAAATTTTCTCTCTCAGTCAAAAAATAAGTAGCTTAGAAAATTAATTCAGCGTAGCTTAGATGGGAATTACTGAGTAGATCAGAAATAGTTGGCAGTTTTCATACCTCCATGTAACCATGTAGAATTTGAAGTCTTAACTTAATTTTACTTAGAGTTTCCTTAAATCTAAAATAAACTAAGCATTTTAAAGCACAAAACATGCAGATCTGATACTTCGTTTTTTATCTGATTATTATTTATTATCTATGGCATTTCAGACATCCAGTCTTGTCATTCATATAGTCAAGAGAATTTTGGGTAGTGATTTTAGCATGAGCTAGGACAAATCTTCAGTGAAACTACTAGCAGTGTTTCAAACCCTCTTCTCTTTTTTTTTTTTTTCTTCAGATACAGAAATGTTTACACTAGGTCTTTGAAAGGCAGATTTTTTATCTCGATGAACAGGGACTGTGTTTCAACATACATGATGATTTTTGACTTCTGGGGTTGTATTAACCAGGAAGAGGTCCTCAAGGAAGAGATCCTGCTCTTTGCTCAGTGAAAATACTCCTGGTGACCTTAATGGGTTGTTGTGTTGGTTACCCACCTTCCTTCACTGTGATTTTTTGACCACAGTAAATCTTGGCCCATTTTAGGTATTTCCCTCCTTTGATTTCAGTTGAATTCTTTTTAACATTCAATGGAACCATGTTGTATTCACTTTCTAGAAAATACTACCTAGAGGATGAAAGTTTTCCTCACCGTGTATTTCCCTGGTAGGTGGAAAGATTGTGTGCCTGACTCTGAACAGCCTAGGAATCCAGACGTGTGCTGAGGAAAGAAGAAGTGCTTGGCAGGTTTCAGACTGTAGTTCACCAGATGCTGAAGTGAGAGTACACCCATTTGGCTGGTATCAAAAGCCTGGTAAGTGGCGCAGGGCACATGGCTTTTCTAACTGGTTTCTGCACATCGGAACTTATTATTTAACTTCAATATATAGAAGCTTCACCTTTCAGATGGAGATGCATTTGCAAGGATAGATAAGGCAAATGAGTATGTGCAAGGGAAAGAAAGGTTCAATTTAATCTCCATTTTAATAGAGAAGTGGTAGAAATGGACTAGATGATCTTTCGAGGTCCCTTCCAACCCCAAACATTCTGTGAATCTGTGAAATACCTCAAAAAGGTATAATTTAATTTTTTAGATTTAATAGGAGACTTATGGCCAATGTTGGAATCCAAATATATTTTTTTGGCACTGCGTAGTCCTGGCCAGGACGTTGTTCTTTGTTTCTCACTGCTTGAGGTGTGGTTAACACTGTGTGTCTGTGTGTCTGTGTGTCTCTGTGTGTGTGTGTGTGTGTGTGTATGCAAAATATCAAAAGGTTGAAAAGGCCAAGACCAAATTCTGAGGTAGCAGTGTACTCTTCAAGCAGTAAGGCAACATCATGTGTTAAAGAGACTTGAACTTATGAGAGGTTAGGTTATGTCCTCAAAAGGAATCCAAAGAGGATCTAGCCAAAGTGAATTTTCTTTTTCATAGCAAAACAAAAGACTCGCCTACTTGGTTGAAAAATTTTCAATGGATTTGTCATTTGTCACACTCCTTTTACATGGATCTAGTTCTACTTTGTTTAAACTTTTGTTCAGCAAAACTGAAACAGTAAGGAAAACAAATGCCTGACTGACTGTATCCCCCTTTATGGGAGGACACGCTGTTACTGAGTCTACATGAACAGAACTTTGTTGAATTTCACTTAGAGAAGTGAGTCCCTACAGGGGCAGGTCTGGTGATGTTGAGAGGATCAGGGGAAAAAAAATGGGTAAGGTGTAATTTCTCCTGCATTTAAACTCCTTCAGTTTTTCCAGAGTAGAGGAGGATTGATATCTGGTTGGAGAGGGGTGACGTGAAGTATAAATATATATTGTTCAGTACAGGTGATACAAAGATAATCCAGTTAAAACTGTGTAAAGTTAATTCAGATATCCTGACAATACACCCTGTTTTACAGTGTTAGTAAACTTAAAGAAAACTTTAATTCACATTGAAAGTGTCAGAAATATGGACTCGATCCTTGTTTTTAACAAGTCCTGTGCTGACACCCTGCCCCCTAGACCATCAATTTCCTCCTCCAGTGGCGTAACCCTTCTTAAAGAGGAGGCACAGAGTGGAGTTAAGGGGGCACCATGGAAGCGTACGGGTTTTCCCAGATCCTTGGTGTGGGCTTGGGGAGGGATGAGCTGGGAGTCTCTCTGAGAGGAAGGAAACAACAGCCCTGATAAAGCAGGCAATGGCAGGAGCATGTGGGCAAGGGGGAACTGAGAAACAACCAGGGGTAAGAATGAAGAGTGGTAGAAAGGTGAAGGGTAGATGGATGAGGTGTAGGTATGCTTCCACTTCTTGGAATTGTTTTTCCTCTTGTTCACAAAGAAACAGCTGAAAATAAAGGAAGTTGCTCACTTCATGGGCAGAGGGATGATGAACAGGAGCCTGGGGAGAAGTTGTGCAAATGGGGGAGTGTAAGGAGAGTTGGTGACATTTCTTTATATGGTGAGGAAGCTTCAGATGTTTCCACCGTAACACAGAGCAAGGCACAGATGTTTATGCAAATGGAGATATTTGCAGACAAAAATTTGTATCGGTTGTGCTGTTATGTTAGGGGTCTGGAAACCAGGAAGAGGAACAAAAAAGCTCTGAGACTAAAAGGAAAAATGTGTGAAATCTGAAGGAGGAATTTACTATAGGCGGTGGGACATTAGCGTGAAGCGGGGTCACTGGTTTTTGTCCATGGTCCTGTAGGAAGGTACTTTTGTCTCCGCATTTCATAATACGTTGACGTGAGAGCTGTTTGCTTGCACAATTCTGCTCATTCACAATTTGACTTCGTCTGTACAGTCATGGTCGCAGCTCAGTCAATGAGACACATACAGTAGCATTTTAAAGAGAGTCCAGGGTAGCCCCTTCGTTCCTATCAATGTGAGTGGTAAAATTCCCAAGTTTTCAGAAATACCTATTGGTTATGTGCATGGGCAGTACAAAGTGGAAGAAGCAAACAAAAAATATGATCTGTCTTCAGCTTCTGTAGGGGTGGTAATTTGTTTTGCTTTGGTAGAGAATTTATAACTGATTCGATTAGCGGAAGTGTTTTACAAAATATGAAAGCACATCAGAAACTTCTCATTTGTCATTGAAAGTTACAAAATGTTTAAGAGATATATTAGCAAATGAGAAGTTCCATGTGAATATGAATGGATTTGGAAAGTTTCCTGCTGGAAAATGACTCATTCCTAGTTCTTGTTTTGAGAAATTCCAGTTTGCTACTCAGGAAACAGAGAAAATCTCATGTCTATTGTGACGCAGAAAACCAAATACAGAGAAAGGCATGGAAAAAAACCCTGCAGAACTACTGAAATGAGTTGTTCATAAAAAACTGGTTTGAAAAGCGTTTATGGGAATGTTTATAAACATGGATATTTAGGGAAGTCTAGTTCCATGCATGAAGTCAAAAGGGTTAGAGAACAAAGTGGCCTTATATCCTTACTCTTGGTGTTTTAGTGAGAACATGAAACATTCAGATCCCAGAAAAAGGCTAGAAATATTGAGGAGTTGATTATATTTTAAACCTTCAAGGATAATTGTTTTCAAATGTATTTTTTTCCCCTGTTTTTAGCTGATTTGAAGAACACCGTTCCTAACCTGTGTCCACCTGTTAGTTTACCTTTCAGGCCAGAAAGTGGTAAGTGTATTCATTCATTAAGCCCTCCCCCAAAGTACTATCCTCTATTTTGTGCATATCACTAAACTATCATGCTATAGTGGAATGGTTGTGTTCTCCATGAATTTACTCCTTCAGATGTTTATGTATTTTTATTAACTGTGTATCTTTTAAACGGAACAATCCTCAGCAGTTTCTGCCAGTAATGCTGAATTCAAGGAATGACGGAGTTTTCAAACATAAACAAGCAATTGCAATAGAGATACAAAGTCAAATTTAGTAAACAGAGTTTTCTGCAGAAAGCAAGATGATGAAAGGAGCAATTCCTCCAAAAATTAGTGCAGGTTTATACTGCTTTATAATTGGTAGTACAGGAGAACAATAAATTGTGCTGCCCCTAGTTCTCATTTGTGTTTTCTTGCAAGGTTGGAAATACTTAAGATTATTCAGAACGGGATCATAACAAATAGCATTTGAAGTGTGTATTGGAACTCACTTTTGAAGAGATGCTGTATGGAAATGTAGAATTGTTTAGGTTGCAAAAGAGCCTTAAGACTATTGAGTCCAGCTGTGACACCATCTTTTTGTTTCAGTCTTACAGTAAATGAATCTTATAGTACTCACATTTTATTTTAAAAGTGAGTAGATCCCCTGAGTAAATGAAACTTTACTGCTGTGTTCCAGGGCTTTGTGTCTATTGCACCCATATATAAAAATATATGCAAATTGTTGACAGCTACAGACATCTCTCATGTGTCCTTTCCAGAAATACACAGCAGTGTAAATGTTAAATGCTGTGTGTAATGGAAAAGAAGCAAGTTGATAAGTCATCAGATAACTCAATTTAACTCAGAGGTTAGACTGAAATTAAGAAGTTTCATCCACCTCTGCCCTTGATTTTCTGTTTGATCCAAACAAATTTTTCTATGTTTCTGTCTGTCTTTCCTTACACAATACGTAACTGGGCTTGCAGGAAATGGTTAGTATTGTAAAGAATTTTCAATATTTAGTTCAGAATTTATTTATCGTCATATCTGTGACCACCAGTCATGATTGTGTTCAGACTGTTTGTATTTTTAGTAGAATTTGTGCTTTTATAAATAATCGTTTTAATGTAATAGAAGGAAAACTATCTCTTTTTTGTGAAATGCTTTGAGCAGCTAGTGAGGTAATGTGTAGACTGAGTAATTCAACTTCTTTGCAAACGTTTTTTTCCTTGGCATGTAGAAAACCTCTTTACTGAAGTTTTGTTCCTCCCAGTAGTAATTTTGTCATTTTCCTTTGATATTTTTCTTGCTTCCTTAAATATAGGGAAATAATAACCTAGGCGGCACTAAAGAAAATTGGGCCTTTCTATCCATTATTTCGTTTCTACTCTAAAGGCTGCCCAGAACGTGACCATAGCAAGTGAGGTGCTCATTTTACCCTTAGTAACAATCTTCATCCATCACACCTATGTCCAGGTCATCTTTGCAGATAAAGAGCAAGTAGAGATGTCTCTGGTTTGCAAAGGTCTGGTTCAGCACTCAAGCAAGCAGACCTTCTCACAAAGAGGCAGGATCCTGGATTAGAGCAGATGTCCTGAGGAAAGCAGTAAGGAGAAGTCAGTGAATTATAGAGAGCACAACTAGCCTGGAAGTCAAATTAGCACTAGTATTGTGTACTCCTTGGGTCTCTGACACCAGTGTATGCAGCAACACATTCAAAATGCAACTGGACACCATCTGTCCTTCCTAGCTTCTGCCTCATTTTGTTTGTAAAACTATCATCCTGATTATTTAGGTCGGATTGCTCGGTGTTGCATTGTCAGGGATTTTGGAAACTTTTCAAAAACCTTTATCATTTTTCAAACCCTTTATCATTATATTACATTATTACAGGCTGTAGAAGATTAATGGGTTTAGAGTTGAACATCACAGGAAAACTAGCAGTGACGGAATTTGCTACATTGTGGTATTGCTTATACATGGGGGAAAAAAAATATGACTGCTGTGTATGAGAAAATGTTGCTATCTAAAGGGCAATGTCATGTGTGTATATACATGTGTGTGCATATATATGGGTGTGTACATGTGAGCATATATATACATAAAATATATAAAACTTTCCATGATCAGAAAGATACTTAAATTTGAATACTTTTGCCAGAAGGCTCTGTGAAATAGTGAAGTTAATGTTATGTCAAATCTAGAGTCTTAGTTTACAGAAGCACAATTTATGCAATCATAGAACGGTTTGGGTTGGAAGGACCCTCCTAGTTCCCACCCCCCTGCCATGGCAGGGACAATTCTCACTAGACCAGGGTGCTCAGAGCCCCATCCAGCTTGGCCTTGAACACTTCCAGGGAGGGGGCACCCACAGCTTCTCTGGGCAACGTGTTCTAGTGTCTCACCACCCTCAAAAAAAGAATTTCTTCCTAATATCTCACCTAAATCTACCCTCTTTCAGTTTGAAACTGTTACCCCTTGTTCTATCACTGCATTCCTTGATAAAGCGTACCTCTATAGCTTTCCTGTAGCCCCCTTTAAGTACTGGAAGGCTGCAGTAAGGTCTCCACAGAGCCTTCTCTTTTCCAGACTGAACAGCCCCAACCCTCTCAACCTGTCCTTAACAGCGGATGTGCGCCAGCCTCTTGATCATCTTTGTGACCCTCTTCTGGACATGCTTGAGCAGGTCCATGTCTTTCTTATGCTGAAGGCCCCAGAGCTGGATGGAGCACTCCAGGTGGGGTCTCACAAGAGCAGAGAAGCAGAACCACCTCATCCTGTAGGCCCTTTCTGATACAAGGTTAAACTCTCCAAGCCAGCTTCATCACCAACCAGTAGTGCATTTAACTGAATGTATGGTTTACATCTTAAACTAAATGAATACTTGTCTTTATCTTCTGTACATCTATCACATGGAGCACAGCATGACCTGTTGTGATTTCCACATAATTTCTGTTATCTGAGACACAGGCTTCAAAAATAGATAGCCTGAAGAGAGTGGGAAAGTCCAACTTGTTCCATTTGGAGCTTTTTTTCCCCTGAAGAAGTAAATGTGTGATGACACTGAGTATGGAACCATCTGTGGCAAGTTTCAGGTATGATCTGTAACCTTCACTGATGGGAGGACAGCTGTTGTTTTAAGACTGTCCATGCTGAAAATGCTAATATGTCATGTTGCAGTCTTGGTTTACACACACTGGTATTTAAATAACAACTCTGCCGAGCTGTGTCAATATGGAGGAATGTTATGCAAAAAGGAAAACAGTCAGGTCTCATAGTTAGGTTCGAGATGGAACTTTCTGCAGCCATCTGCGAGACAGGGAGAGATAAGACTTTTTTTAATGAGAAATTATGTATTGTTGTTTTAGGGTCATACAGTGCTGTTAGTTTATGCACAGGAGTTTGACCTATGGAAGTGTTTACGTCTTTACAGTTAAGAAAACAGAACAATCTATCAAGCACATGCTGGATTTTTAGAAACAGTGCTGGTGTTTACAGAAAACTAGAGAGCCTGAAAATATTCCTGTGCATGTGGAAGAGAGGAGTGACACTGATGTATAACCTCACTTTTGAACTTTGTTATGAGATTTACGAATTGTATACAGTAATTATCCAGACTCTAACTAGCATTTGTGTCTTTGGGGTCCTTAGTTTTATACAGGATATGGCTATCTATCTTAGATTTGGCAACGACTGGAAGACAATGACCCTTAAATGATGATCTTTGCACGGGACTGTAGACTGTATACGGATCATATGGGCTTCATTCCCACTGCACTCAAATCAAGTAATTCATTGATAAACCACCAAGGCGTATGGATTAATGATCTGCCTGGCCCTTGCTGTTTCTGCCTCCTGTGATCCCCTGGTGATTTCTAGTCATTCCCTTGATGCAGCACTGAGCAGTGCCTACGGGATTTTCCAACATGGGAATAAATTTCCCATTGGGCTGTCTCAGCATGTGGAGTATTTTCATGCTCAGCAGAGATGCTGGTGATAGTGCCATTGCTGGTGTAGCTGGCTTTGGTGACTAATAGTATCATTTTTCTTCCTGTTTTCCTACATTGCTAAGGATATGCCAGGGAGATCTTTGGTGTGAAACAAAGATTTGTTTTTTATCCATCCTTCGGAACTTATCTGCCGTGACCCCATACAGCATATTGGACCCATGGTGTAGAATTACTCTCTCCTTGGTCTTAAGTTTGATTTTTATTCTACTTGTAAACATGAGGATTTTAGCTTTTTGAAAACAGTTTATTTTAAACTGGACTAAATATCTGGTATGTTTTTAGTGTACTATAACTATACAATTTATTATAACTGGAATTACCGAAGGAGGTGAAAACATTAACATAGCAAAATTGCTCACTGCTAAAAGCCATAAATAACACATTCTTAGTGTGGTTATAGATATGCAGCAATTTTAAGGAAATAACTCCTTTTAAATCATTCATATCTCCATGGATGGAGTGTATTTTCTGAAGGTCCACTCTGAGCTGAGTGTTTTTTGCTGTTTTTGGAGATTGCTCATGTGCAGGTAGGTTAGCAGTCTTCAATGGAAAAAACCTCTAAATACAAAGCACTGAGTTCAGTCTGTAAGCATGTTTTTTATCTTGAGTCAGGCTATTAAATATGGCTCACAAATTTCAGAATTAAGATTGGAATTTGTCTTTCAAACATAAATTAGGCATACTGAACCCAGAAATATGATTTATGTACCTCCCTAACCTCATGATAACCTCATCTGATTTGTGTACCTCCTCAACTTTACTAGTCTTCTTCTAAATTTTACCTATTTTATTGCACTCTGTGTCTATGTTTCCTTATTTCAAATGTCAGATTTTCCTGCAAACTCAGAACAGACCTCTATTTGCTTCCACTGAATCAGAGATGAAACTTCTGTTGACTTGATGAAAAACATTTTTAGAATGTTGTTGCCTGTGAAAGTGGGAGGATGAACTCTGCCCTCAGGAAATCTGTTCCAGTCTTGCGATCTTATGACTTGAGTGGGAAGAGAGTAAGGCCAGTGCAAGTCCTTCTGCAAATCCAGTCTTAAACCTTGCTTACCCAAACAAGAACATCTGGAAGAGAGAGGCTCTCTGTATGGGACAGCTATAATTTTGCAATAAAAGTTACAGGGCTAGCTGGATTCAGAGTCCTGTAATTATCCAATCAAAGCGCTTGCCAAAATGCGGTTTGGAAGGTCAGAGCTTAACCTATATATAAACCAGAAATGTCTTCCAGCCCATCAGGTGCATTTTCAGTAAAGCAGTGCCAGCTTGTAGCTCTGTGCTTTTTGAGAGCAGTTTCTAGATGAGGCAAGTGTAGATCAGCTGTGGAAAATTCTGGTTTGCCCACGTCATGAAGCAAATGTGCATGGCTCCAGGAATTGCTGAGTCCTCTGCCAAGAGAAGGAAAGGAAGCAACTAATAGCCAAAATCTCATTTGAAGCTAAGTGCTGGCTGTTATTGTACACAGTGGTGCCATGGGTTAAATGTCACTGAAATAAGTACTAGTGTTTCTGCATTCGTCTGCATCTGAGGCCAGCTGGGTGTAATATCAGAAAGGGAAAATACTGGAATTCTCAGTATATAAATCTAATCTGAGATGGTGAATGCTTCGTCCAGGACTGAGAATGGAGAAAAAAAAAAAAAAAAGCACAAATCCCAAAGCAACCCAAATAACAACTCGTGTTGGTCATGGGAGGTTTCAGGTATCACTTCGTTGAGACTTGTGGCAAATAGTAAGTGAAATAAATTGTGTTTTAGGTATGAATATATGATCTATGGATGTTTGCATCAGGAGTGGTCATTCTCCTGTGCCTAGCATGGACTGCAAAATGCTCATTGTGTCTTACATGTATTTAAAATTAATGTTATTAACTTCACTATTACATGTAAAAGGGTAAAATATAGAAGTAGGAAGTTTAGTTTATTGTCAAATGTAGAACACATTACTTCTACCTAATAAGGGCAGCGTGCACTCACCAGCTTAATTTGAGCACCTTCAAAAGGTTTTAATAACAGCAAGGTAATAAACTTCAGGGAAATAGGTACAGGGGGCCAAATTAAAGTGTTGGAGATGTAAATCCAAGGAATATATTTTACTTTTTTGGAATTACTTTGAATTTCTTGCCTGAGACTGTAGAATTTAGCTTATCAAGAACTCCTCTGAATGTTTGATCTGTGGGCAAAAGGAGGCGTATGAGGATTTTGAGAACTGCCCGAGGTCATTTGATGAGTCAGGGAAGCCATGGGAAGAGAGTCACTCTGGTGAAATGTCTTCCCAAACCACTGATGAACCCAGACTTCTTGACTTACAGTGGAATCCAGACAAGACTTTTTTTGGAAGAACCACAGCCAGTAACTTCAAGCTTTGTGTCTGAACCTAGAGACATTATTTGTTCCAGTAGTAATTCTCCATCACTTAGAGGTGATTTCTGGTTTTAAGTATCTAAGTAAGTGCCGCAAGCTGTCACCCTAGATGTAGAGGTGTAAATTTTCTCATGAGTCATGCAACAGGTCATATTAGACAGTTCTAAAATAGAGAAATCATTGACAATATGAAATGTAGTAATTTCTACATGACTAAAATCACTGTATTCCCCTAAAACAATTGAATAATTAGTGCTTAAGCGGAAGAAAAAATTAAGTACAGTGGGTATGTTTGCACAATCTGCCATAACAAGTAAGCTTGTGGTCTCTAACATGTAACAGTGCAACAGGAAATTTGCCTTAATTTCTGCTTAGCTGCAGACTTCCAGCCTCTATCTTGTTGAAGAGTTGTTCCCAAATATAACAGGAAGTAAATGATTTTGAAAGGACTCATGGGACTCAGTGCTGCTTTCTTGCCTCTGGCTTACAGACATGAACTAAAGCTGGGCTGTTGCCAAAATTACATGGAAGTACAATAGGTTGATTCATCAGTCCTTCATCAAGGGTGAGAGCAAAGGACATAGCACTAAGGTAACAGCCTTGACAATGGTGGTAGAACATTGGGGTTTTTTCGGCTTATTCTCTGGAAGATAACCCATGCTTGAAGTTTACAGTTCTGTGGGAAGGATTTATCTTGCAAAACCAAAGACTTTTAGGTTCAATATAGAGCCCTGGGTTGTAGCAGTTAGCCTGTGTTTTCATGAAGCATTTGGAATAAAATGATTTTGAAATCTAATTTAGTTATTGCTTTTCCATGTCTATTTGCTCAAGGAACGGTGCAACCAGGCTGGTCTGTGATCTGTTTTGAGTCTTGGGTTCTCATCAACCCGATGACTATGTTAACACCAGGATTTCTAAGTCACGGGGAGGACATGCCACAGCCCTGACTGTGTGAACCCCACATTTGAGCTTCAGAATTGATGTTGAGTGGTGTGGTCACAGCTGTCTTGCTGTGAGGAGGGGAATGAGGGAAACTTTGCCATCTTTGCAAGTCACCCATTTCTCAGAAGGCTAAAAGAAAACTTTCATGAAATGAGCAATCACAACTTTTGCATCTGTGTGGTAAATGAACTCTTAAGCAACAGGACGAGATCTGCTCACCAGGAATAGGGAGGCGACAGCTGACTCAGCTCTATCCTCACCCTACAATTTGCATGGAGAGGGTAACACCAACTTTCTGTTTAGGACTTTGTGGCCACAGCAGGGCCCTTTGCTTTTAAAACATAGTGGACTGTTGAAAGGAGCTAAAATAATTAAAGGCCCATTCTTTCCCAAGCCTTCTTTTTTTGACTTCTGTGTACAAAATTGAGAGCCTGCAGATATTTTTGTCTGTGTATGAGAAAAGAATGTTTGTGGCATTTTTTGAACTCCACTGTGAGACAGAAGAATTCTTCTTGATACTACAGTCAGTATGTATGTGTATATATATGCTCACTCATGTACATGTATGTGTACATATTACATATGCAGATATAAATATTTGTACATATGTAATATGTTTATATATACATAAGTATGTATTTATGTATATGTGTATATACATGTGAAATAGAATTGCATCTTAATTACGTTGCAGTTATGTGACATTAGAACAGTTTCATGTAATTATGTCTACAAAATCACACGAAAATGGTCAAAATAATCCTTGTGACATTTTGAAAAAATGTCCATTTCTTGTAAGGAAAGTGAAACAAAACAATAACATTTGTGAGAACTGTTGTCTCACTTTCACTTAGTCTGTAAGGTCAGGACTTGCTCTCTGTATGTAGATATATGCAGGGAACAGAGATGTCTTCATTTCAGCTACTCACTTGAGGTTCCCTATACAGACAATATGGACATCTGGCTCCTGTGGATTTAATTACACTTATTAGTGTAATTAATTCAGCTGTAGATGTGTATCTTGCAGGGGTCTGAGGTGAAACCTGTTTTAGGAAACTAGCTCCTAATCTGGACATAGATGTGGATGTCTGCTGAAGGTTCTGGGAGTGCTCAGTCACATACAGGTTCCCCACTTGTTTCCAAAAGATCTAGTGCTGGACCTGCTCAGGGACTTGTGTGCAAGTATTATAAGCCAACTCCTTTAAAGTATTTAAGCCTGTACAAAAAGCTTTTATTTAAATAAATTTGTTTTAAATGAAAACCTGGATGAAGCTGCTCATGGCTTAACTATTTATTAACTAAATATCTTTGTAAGCCTAGTTATACGTGACCTGTCGGAGATCTTTGAATATTTTATTTCATTTATTCCCAGTGATGCAATGGAAGGTGAAAGTCTTTCATTGGGGAACTTCCCAATGCTTTTACTTCATATTATTTTCTTCTGAAGTTTTACCGTTATCTCTAGTTATATTATTTTTATATATTTCATTTTGCAGAGTATTTGGATATATGGCAATCCTTAAATGTGTCCTCTGTTCTCATGGATTCATCCATCTCAAACTTTGAAGTTGTGCACGTTAGTAGAGATATATCCAATGACTTCTCCACTGCCAGAGATTTTTGTCTGTCTGGTAAGAAATGATTATTCATAGCTTTACAGAAAATACTGGCTTGTGAGCCTTAAAAAATCAAGAACAGCTCTACCCACCCCTGCCACCCTTCTGACATAGATACAGTGATTTTACTTATTTTTAAAGACTACCTCAGTGTTTCTGAATTTGAGAGAAGGGACCTGCAATAGTTTATCTAATGAAAGATACAGTAGATGTAAAACAGTGATTGCGTCATTGTACAACATGAAGAATATTGTGGACAGTAATTAAAGGGATGATGTCATTATTTTCTGAGGAACAATTAAAAGGAAGCTCATCAAGTGAGACAGACAGTAGAGCCACCTACCATCATCACAAGTAACCTGCAGCTGTGGTACATGAGGGCAGGTTAGCTGAGAGCTGGGATGAAACAGGGATTGGGCTGTAGCAACAACAAAGGGAACTGCTTTAGTCAGTGGCCTGACTAGACAGCAGAGTCCTTCAGCTTCCTGTGACTGGCAAATCTTCAATGCTGCAGGGAAGGTAGAAATATGGAAAAGTTCCTACCTACTGCAGAAATGGTCCTTGGAATGGTCCCACTTTTTGCGGCAGATAGTTCTCACCTTAAGAAGGGGAGCAGTGTAATTTACTGTTTTTTCCCTTTTCCTATAATTGTTTGAAGAAACTTTTCTAAAGGAAAAATGTTGGATACTCACCTCTGACAACAAACTGGGGCAAGTGAGATCACTTTTTTTTATTCTGAAACCTTTCCCTGGGGCTCCCTGTGGACTGTTTCAATTCAGCTGAAGTCCTCAATGCTTTATTAGAAAATGTTTTTCTGCTCCTAAAACCCATCGTAGCAGTTCTCTTGCTCTGTTGCTCCATTTTAAAGCCAATATAATTTTTTGTCCTTTGACTGTTCTGGAGAATGTTCTAGGAAGGTGAGTACATTTGTATCCCGTTATTCTGCTTAAGAGCTTTTTTATATCCTGGCTGCTTAACCTTTATTTTAAGAGTCTTATAGCAACGTCATACAAAACACTTTGAGAATACCTTTTTACCTACTCTTTTTCTTCCTGTTTTACCCCATAGCTTGTTCAAAAAACCAGTCATGTACAACAGTTACACTGGAAATCCAGCCTTCAGAAATAAGATGCCTTCTCTACCCCGATACACAGATATGCACATATGGCCTGGAGAGGCACAGCTGCCAGGTTTTACTCAAAGAGCCAGCTGCAAATATCTACAGGAGACAAGGTAAGAGGAGATTAAAGCTGTGAAGGAGGAACTCAACTGTGGTGGCCTGTGAACAGCTCTTGTGAGTGGAAGAGTGAGGAAATCGTCACGAGGCACGAAGCTATATGGATGTCTTCTAGGCAGTTGTCCATCAGTGAAACAAAGTTACAGCCAAGCAGGATGGAAGAATGTCCCCAAATACTTTTTATAAAAATGCATGAAATTATAGTGTTACCATTTAATGTTGAAACAGGTATAATAAAGGAAAGGTAGTATATGAAAAAAGTTTTGGAAAGTGCAGAATGGTAAAAACGAATGAAAACCAGTAATGAAAGTCCAGCTCCTTCCTTTTCATCTGCAGAAGATGTTTTTTATGTGCTTCCTTTTAAACTCTGAAAATAACACAAGGAGTCTTGAAACCCATAGTCAACTGAAAGTCTTAAGGACCATCTCTGGAGAAAACAAACAAAAAAACCCCAAACCCAAAACTCTAACCAAAGATTAACTAATAAGGGATTTATTGATGTCAATTGAAACAAAATCACAGACTGAGACATAAAAGCTAGGCTTCTGTGTTTGAGTATTTATGGTTTTGGTTTTGGTCATGTGGCTTAGAATTTGGTTCCTGCTTATTGAATTGTTTTTGGAGATAAATAGCATGAGTTATCATTTAGCTCTGTTTTAAAGCAAGGCGTTATTGAAAAACCTCTTATTTGGATAGATATTCATTATAAAAAAAAGAGAAAAAAGATATCTCAAACTACAACCCCTTAATATTTCCTGATTTTCTGCAAGCAAAAAATAAATTCAGGTAGCAGTTATATCCGATCTAAAATGTAGATACTGGCATAAGATACTTCAAGCAAAGGGTAGTATTTGCAATACAGTGTGAGGCAAGGGACAGTGATGAAGGCTCTCTGGTACCCTGAGCTCTTGCATTCCTTCCTTGGGCATACAGAAGGAACACACGAGGGTCAGCTCTCGTGCTGGTGATTCCCACTGCAAAAACAGCAGTTCTAACACAGGGCTGTGGGGAATTTGTCCATGGGTTAATTCTAATTTCTGAAAAGAGAAAGTAAATTATTTTTCTTCTGTTCCCTTCTTGCCCCGATAGATTTATTCTTGCCCATTTCTGAATCGGATTTAACCCCTTCTGTGTACACCCTGTCCCACGGAGATCTGATTGGCAAAGCTGAGGTGATCCATGTTGGCTCGCAGTGGAGGAATGTCAGCCAGTTCCTGGGGATCCCGTATGCTGCACCCCCCCTTGCAGAGAGGCGCTTCCGTCCTCCTGAGCCATTTGCTTGGGTGGAAACCTGGAATGCTACTGTGGCTCGGTAAGAAACCCCTTTGTTCTCCTGCAGAAGTGCTTGTGCATTCAGGAGTATGAAAGTAGCTGGAGCATGTATGTCCTTTCTTGCAAAAGAACCTATAGGGTACAGTTTAATACAACTTTGGGATTTTGTTTAGCAAAACCAGTAATTCCTCCGTGTGTGTGTTAATGCATACAAGCATCTCAAGAAAAAGGGCAGATTCCAGTACGTTGCCTTGAATCTATGTGTAACTCCCTACTGACCATCTGCTGTCAATCCGTTTTCACCCTGAGTATTTATACAAGTATTTATAATAGTTATACAAATAAATTTTGCTCCTGCTGAGCCGTAAATTTGCAGAATATTTAATCAAACCAGGATGCTTTAATGCTGCTGTGGGCCTGGCATAGGAATTCTCTACCTAGCAGTGTCTAGGAGATCAGGCTCAAGGATAGTGTTTTCTGTCCAAAAACTGTTAAAGGGAAATGCTTGCTAAATGGCTTGGACAGAAGTAGAGAAGTTATAAACATTTTAAGTAGTGGCTTAAGAGCAAATGAGCGCTAGGAGCTGTATTAGCAGATGATATAAATTTTTCTGAAGTCCCTATATCTAATGTTTCCTGTTGCATGGCCCTGGCTGTCCAGGGCTGTCCAGACACCACCGTTCAGTGAGTTTAGCTTAGAGGCAATTTATGGACATGTTTGTGCTTCATTTAGCCTTCACCATGTGAGTCTAAATTTTGTTGCATTGGGGAGCCAAAATGACAAATTGTGAATGAATATTTATTTAAAAAAAATTAAAAAAAAATGAAGGTTTGGGTGTTAGTATTTCTGTACTGTGGAACATGTTAGCACAATGCATTTCTTTTATAAAAAAACCCACAATGTGGCAAATAGAAATGCAGCAACAACAAGAAACAAGATATGAAAGTGGAGTGTGTTTTATAGGGTTTTTCTCTTAAAGCATGCCTGCTTCACATAATAGAAAGCAAACTACAGAGCGCATGAAACCCTCTTGGGCACATCACACTGCTTATGTACAGAGGAAGTTGATACAGGAGAGATGGTTTGCAATCACATTCATGTCAATAAAAAGCAGAATGTTCTGTGACTGACATGAGGAGCCAACAGATAACTTGGACATTATATTCTATTATTTATTTAAGGTTAAAAAAATAATTCCATGAATTTAGCACTATGGCGCTGCACTTGAAAGGATCTCACTCTCTGTGTGTATAGAAAGTGTTGAAAACTGTAATTTTTAGGACTCTATATTGGTGTTGCACCATATTTGTACACACGAAATTTACCTTAGCACAGTGCTATTGCTGACAGAAGAGAAATGTTTATTTATCAGCCTGAACTTGAAAGGGACTTAAAAAACCCTCAAACAAACCAAAAAACCCACACAGCTGCCGGAGTCTCCAGCTGCTGGAGGAGCTGTGGACTTGCCTCAGCAGGTGGCAGCCTTTCCCTGGAGTCGGTCCCAGCGTGAGGAGCTCCTGGGAGCTGGAGGTGTTGGGAATCTTGACAAGTTACTTAAAAAAAAAGAAAAAAAGGAAAAAAAAC